CGCCCCTCCTTGGGCCTGGGCACCCCTTGCCCTCCAAGGCCTTGGAAGGTGACAGTGACCTGCCTCGCCCCAGCCCCAGCCTTGTGGGCAGGGGAAGAAGTGGCACCTGGCCAGCTTGGAGGGGATGTGCGCAGGGGCCTGGGCCGGCAGCCTCCCTGTAGCCTGAGCTGGAGGAGGGCCCTGGGTAGTCTGGGGCTCAGACGCTCAGGGAGGGACCGTGGCGGGGGCTCACTCCCCCCGAGCAGAATGTTCAAACTGGAGTGGGGCGGGAAACAGCCTGGAGGAGGGGAGTGGGGCCTCCTGGGGCCAGCGGGGGCAGGAGCTGATGGGCACCCCCGGCCCTGCCCCCAGAATGCCAGCTGATGAAGACGGAGCGGCCGCGGCCCAACACCTTCATCATCCGCTGCCTGCAGTGGACCACGGTCATCGAGCGCACCTTCCACGTGGAGACCCCCGAGGAGCGGTACGCACACCGCTGGCCCGGGGAAGCTGGGGCACAGCCCCGCTGCGTGCCCCCGGCAGCTGTGACCGCTGGCCTCCCCGACCCCTGCAGGGAGGAGTGGACGACTGCCATCCAGACGGTGGCCGACGGGCTCAAGAAGCAGGAGGAGGACACGATGGACTTCCGGTCAGGGTCTCCCAGTGACAACTCGGGGGCCGAGGAGATGGAGGTGTCCCTGGCCAAGCCCAAGCATCGTGTGGTGAGGCTCTGGCTCTTCCCGGTGCCCGGGCCAGCGGCGGTGGGCAGGCGCCGCTGACCCCGCTGACCCGCCTGCGCACCCCGCAGACCATGAACGAGTTTGAGTACCTGAAGCTGCTGGGCAAGGGCACCTTTGGGAAGGTGATCCTGGTGAAGGAGAAGGCCACGGGCCGCTACTACGCCATGAAGATCCTGAAGAAAGAGGTCATCGTGGCCAAGGTGGGCGGGGCCGGGGCGGGGCCGGCGCGGGGTGGGCGGGGCCGGCGCGGGGTGGGCGGGGCCGGCGCGCGCTCACCCGCCCGCCTTGCAGGATGAGGTGGCGCACACGCTCACGGAGAACCGCGTGCTGCAGAACTCCAGGCACCCCTTCCTCACGGTGAGTGCGGGCCCTGCGCGGGCGGGGCCCGACCCTCGCCGGGACGTCCGGGGATGTCGGGGTGGGGGAGCCTCCTGGGGGGCTCCGGCGCCGTCCCACCCGCCTTGGCTCTGCCCCGCAGGCCCTCAAGTACTCTTTCCAGACGCATGACCGCCTCTGCTTTGTCATGGAGTACGCCAACGGGGGCGAGGTAGGGCCGGCGGGGGCGGGGCCCGGGGGAGGGGCGGGCGGGGGCGGGCCCTCGGGGGGCAGGGGGCGGGGCGGGCGGGCCCGGCGCCTCAGCCCCCTCCCCCGCAGCTCTTCTTCCACCTGTCCCGCGAGCGCGTCTTCTCCGAGGAGCGGGCCCGCTTCTACGGCGCCGAGATCGTGTCGGCGCTGGACTACCTGCACTCGGAGAAGAACGTGGTGTACCGCGACCTCAAGGTGCGCCCCGCGGGCCGGCGGGGGGCGGGCCGGGCCGGGCCCCGCTGACCGCCCCTCCCCGCGCAGCTGGAGAACCTCATGCTGGACAAGGACGGGCACATCAGGATCACGGACTTCGGGCTGTGCAAGGAGGGCATCAAGGACGGCGCCACCATGAAGACCTTCTGCGGGACGCCCGAGTACCTGGCCCCTGAGGTGCTGCGCGGCCGCGCACCGCGGCCACCCGACCTGGGCACGCTGGGACCCCACATCCATCCCCCGACCTGGGCACACTGGGACCCCACATCCATCCCCTGACATGGGCACGCTGGGACCCCACGTCTGTCCCTGTGTGCACCTCCTGACCCCCTGGGCACGCTGTGACCCCATGTCCATCCCCCAACCTGGGCACACTGGGACCCCTCGTCTGTCCCCCAACCTGGGCGTGCAGTTACCCCATGACCACCCCTGACCTGGGCACACTGGGACCGCATGTCCACCCCTGACCTGGGCACGCTGGGACTGCATGTCCATCCCCCGACCTGGGCACGCTGTGACCCCTCGTCTGTCCCCTGACCTGGGCGTGCAGTTACCCCACGTCCACCCCTGACCTGGGCGTGCAGTTACCCCCTGTCCACCCCTGACCTGGGCACACTGGGACTGCATGTCCACCCCTGACCTGGGCACGCTGGGACCCCACGTCCATCCCCCAATCTGGGCACACTGGGACCCCTCGTCTGTCCCCTGACCTGGGCGTGCAGTGGCCCCCTGTCCACCCCTGACCTGGGCACACTGGGACTGCATGTCCACCCCTGACCTGGGCACGCTGGGACCCCACGCCCATCCCCCGACCTGGGCACGCTGTGACCCCACGCTCCCTCCGCCCCGCGTAGGTGCTGGAGGACAACGACTACGGCCGGGCGGTGGACTGGTGGGGGCTGGGCGTGGTCATGTACGAGATGATGTGCGGCCGCCTGCCCTTCTACAACCAGGACCACGAGAAGCTGTTCGAGCTCATCCTCATGGAGGAGATCCGCTTCCCGCGCACGCTGGGCCCCGAGGCCAAGGCCCTGCTCGCCGGGCTGCTCAAGAAGGACCCCAAGCAGCGGTGAGGCCGCCCTGGGCTTGGCGGCCCTGGGCTCCGCCGTGCGGCGGCGGGGGACGGTGGGGGAGCCCTGGCCTGAGCCCTGAGCCCGCTTCCCGCCCCCAGGCTCGGCGGGGGCTCCGAGGACGCCAAGGAGATCATGCGGCACCGCTTCTTCTCCGGCATCGTGTGGCAGGACGTGTATGAGAAGAAGGTGCGGCCTGTGGGCGCCCCCGTGGCACCTGCCGCGTGACAGGCAGCCCAGCTCGCACAGGGACGGGGCAGTGCCCACCTGTGTGCAGGGCGTGTGTCCATCTGCCCCTCGCCTCCCGTCTCGGTCACGCAAGGCCAGCGGGGCTGGGTCTGCCCTCGCCTCGGGCCCTGTGCCGACCCCACCACCCCCAGCCCTGCTGTCCAGGGGCGTGGGGGCCCTGAGGGGTTGCGTGGGGGCAGCTCACGTCACGTCACCCCAGGCCTGCGTGCTCTCCGGTCCTCTGCCGGCCAGCTCTGTGGCGTGGTCTGAGGCAGGGTGGGCTCATCTCATCCACTTGCCCCCCAGCCCCCTCCCTCTGTCCCTTCCCAATTCAAAAGGAAGCAGCAGCAGAAGCAAGATGGGGGAGGGGGGCTGACGCGTCCACCTGGGCTGCACCGCCGCCCGCAGGGGCCCTGTGGGCACCGCTCTGCTCCTTGGCAGGGGGTGTCCAGCGCCCTGGGTCGGCCCCAGCAGGTTTGGGGAGCCATGAGGAGCTGGGTTCACCGGGTCCGCGTGTCCTGGGGGCACAGGCCAGGCCAATGACTGCCCTGCCCTGCCCGCAGCTGAGCCCGCCCTTCAAGCCTCAAGTCACCTCCGAGACGGACACCAGGTATTTTGACGAGGAGTTCACGGCCCAGATGATCACCATCACGCCGCCTGACCAAGGTGAGGCTGCGCCGCCCGCCGCCTCCGCCCAGACACGCGTGCTCGGGGTGGGGCCGTGTGCCGAGGGCTGGGTCTCCACCTCCAGGTGTGGGCCCTGCCTCGGTGTCCCCGGCAGTGCCCTGTCCCTGCCCCGCAGATGACAGCATGGAGTGCGTGGACAGCGAGCGCAGGCCGCACTTCCCCCAGTTCTCCTACTCGGCCAGCGGCACGGCCTGAGTGGCCGCTGGGGGAGGACGGAGCCTAGCCGCGACCGTGCAGAGGCCCTCCTGTCCAGCTGTGAGCAGCGGGAGCCACGCTGTCCCTCCCAGCGCACGGGGGAGCTGTCCTGCGGTCCTTAATTTATTTCATCCAGTCTGCTGCAAGGGCCAGCGCCCTGCCCCCCCAGCGGGACAGCAGTGCCTGGAGGACTGCCCTGGGTGGGGCCTGGGGAGGGCGGGGCCTTGCAACAGGAAGGGGTGTGGCCTTTGCCCACATCCCCGCCCCCTCCTGTCGGGGCGCCGGGCGTCCACGGGCGTCCCCTCCTCGCAACTCCAGCAGCACCTGCCCTCAGATGCTTCTGTCCCCGCTGCGCCCGGCCCCCACCCTCGCCCCTCAGGGCCAGATGCTGGCACCGTGCCACGTGTTTTTAACCTTCAACCTTAGTATTTTTACTATGAAATACGAAACAGTCCCTCCAAATTCTTCAATAAAAACTGCTTTTCAAGTTGGTGGTCCATCTGTTGGGTGGGGGGGGAGCCCTGTCCCAGGGCAGACACTCCCCCAGCCCCGGGGGAGGGATCGAGACGCTGACCTGCCCTGTCCCCTCGAGTCCAACTCACCCGGCTTCCCCTCAGCCTGAGGGCGCCGCCTAGGCGGCATGGCCACCTCCACCTGCTGTCCCCTGGGCACAGCGCCTGGCCACAGCCAAGCAGGAGGCCCTGGGGAGTGACCTGCTACAGGTCAGCGCCGGACAGAGCAGGTGGGGGGCCGAGGCTGCCCTCAGTCACAAGCCAGCTCAGCCCACAGGACGCGCTGATGGCGACACCTGGTGGCCACCCAACGCCATCAGCACTGGCACGGTTGTGGGCCCGGCACTGGCGGGTGGGTAAGGACAGGGGCTGGCTCTGCCCTCAGGCACTCCAGGACACGGGGCACTGCCCACGTCCACTGGAGACAGTGGACCCCATGCCCTGTGTCCCGCCCCCGTGGGCAGCATAGCGTCTGGCGGCGGCTGCATGGTGTGGGTTCTGGGTCAGGTGGGGGCGGCCAGACGGGTGCAAGACGCCCCTCCTGAGGGGCCTCTGGACGTATCCAGTCTGGGAGGGGGCGGCCTCAAGGGGATGCACGTGGGACGGAGGCCTGAGGCTGCCACGGCCTCCTGGCTGTCTCAGGTGCCCGGGGCTGGCGCGCAGTGCACATCTGTAGGAGCTCCTGGGGAGGGGGCAGGTGCACGGAGCCCCTGGGTCTGGGGGCCTGGCGGCGGCTCCTGCACCTCTCACTGCCCCTGCACAGTCCCAGCCCACACACTTCACGAGGACGGTTAGCACAAACATAAAGGGGTTCATTCGCTTCCGTCATCAGAGTACAAAACAGCATACAAAAGCCCCCCACCCCCACCCTGCTCTTCGGTGTGAACGCAGGCGCCGGCACAACGACCCCACGGTCCTCAGGCTTCGAGCATGGCGCAGCCGGGGCACAGCGCCTTCTCGTCCACGTCACCGAAGCTGCAGCACCACCGGGAGCAAGAGGCAGGGTTAGGAACAGGCAGCCCCCGGGTGAAGTCCCTAGAGCGAGCCCAGTCCCACGCGGAGGAAGGCTGGGGAGGGCGGCCTCAGGCCCGACTCGGACCTGGACTATGGCCCGGGCTCCACCCGGGCCCTGGCTGCGGCGCAGCTGACTGCCCGCGGGCGGCCTGCCCTGGGGTTCCCACAGAAACCCCGGAAGCCCTGGTGGGGCTCACGGCACCGCGGCTTCCGTCTAGGACGGCCTCTTCTGGGTAAAGGTCAGGAGACCTCCAGTCAGAGAGACACTGGCCCCCAGAGAGCCGGTGGCACACAGCCCAGGCCAGGCCGGGTCACAGGGGCCCCTGCCTGGGAGCTGCCACAACACAGTGGGCCCGGCTTGGTCAAACCAGAGCTGCAGGGGAACGTGCTGTCCACCGCTCACAGGTGCCCTGCCCTGTCCTGGTCTGTCCTGGCCTCCGGCCTGGTTTCTCAGCCTGGCTGTGCCAGGCTGGCTTGGGGCTTGCCGCAAGTTTATCTGTGAAGCGGGCAGCGCCCACCTCCTGGGCAGTACTGCGGTGCGGTCAGTGGTCACCTGGATGTCTCGACCTCAGTTCTAGGGGCGTCTGGGGAAGAGGAAGCAGAAGGAGGCTGGGAGGAAGCTGGTGTGCGGGTCCCTCGAGGGTGCCGGCCACAGGGGCTGCAGGAGGGCTCCCCCGCCCTGCTCAGTGCCTGCCCAGCAAGACGGCCTCCGCGGCTCAGAGCCAGAGATGGGCTGGGCTGGTGGGGACGGAGGAGGAGCCTGCCTGTGCCCAGCCCAGCCCCGGCCTTGAAGGCACAGCTTGCTCCACTCGGTGTCAGGCCCAGGAACCGGCCAGGCACAGGGCGTCACCCCGCCTCTGCCTCGCCACACAGATCCTAACGCTGCTGGGAGAAGTAGCTCGTGGCAGCTCTGCGGCGTGGACGCGGGTGACAGGTAGGCACAGCCGCGAGGGTGCGGCTGTCTCCCCCAGCACACCAGCAGAGAGAACTGGAGCCAGCGCGTGTAGATGCACGCACACGCATGCACGCAGACACGCGTGTGCACGAGGCTGAGCAGAAGTCCCTGATGAGGCCGCAGGCTCCTGGCCTTGGCCTGGCCCAGCCCTGGCCACTGTGGCCCACTCTGTAACTCTGCCTTTCAAATAAATACATCTTTTAAAAAAACTCCTGAGACGTGCACTTCCCCCCCAGTCCTCAACAACAAGCAGAACACCACTGGGCAAGCTGTTGCCAAGGCGCCGCCCACCCCGCCCGGCCCCGCCCCACCCGGCGCCGCCCACCCCGCCTGGCCCCGCCCACCCCCGCCCCGCCTCCCCCCCCCCGGCGCCGCCCCCCCCCCCCCCCCCCCCCCCCCCCGGCTCCCCGGCATGCATGGCGGACACTTACTCCACAAGGCCGCACAGGGCGCAGGCCACGGCGCCACAGCCCCAGCAGGTGCGCACACAGCGCTCACACAGAGCCCGCTCGCACTGGCCGCACGCCGCCTTGCCGTCCACGGCGCGCACACACGACGAGCAGGCGACGGGTGCTGCCCTGCACGGGTCTGCAGAGGGAACGGAACGGCACGGGTCAGTCCCGGAGGGAGGCTGGGAGGGACTGGGGGCTGAGGGGCTCCCACGTCCCGCCCACCTGAGGGCAGAGGGCTCTAACCCCGCCCCGGCCCCTTCTCCTGTTGGATCCTTTGACAACCACTGTGTCCTAGAGGGAGCCCAGCGCGGGAGGACTCCCCTCCGTGCCCCGGCTCAGGGTGGCCGGCCCCTCCAGCGGCTAACAGAGGCTTGGGAGGCCTGGAGGTGCAGGCCTGTGTGAGTGTTCAGTGTGGACCTCGCGTCTACGTACCTCGCAGAGGGACAGTGAGGAGACGGGGAGGGCTCCTCCAGCCGCTGCCTCACTCCCCAGGTGCTCACACACCCAGCTGGGCCAGGCCGGAGTCAGGAGCCGGGGCTCCATCGGGGCCTCCCACGTCCCTGGCAGTGACCCACGCTCTTGAGCCACCACCCGCCGCCTCCCAGGAAGCTGGGTCACAGGGGAGGGCGAAGGGAGGGGCGGGACGCGGTGTCCAGGCCGTGGCTGCCCGAGCCTGCGCTTTGTACAGTGACACAGGTGACCTCTGAGGGCTGGGCCCCACCCGCACGCGGGCCTGAGACTGAGAAGCCGCCTGACCACGTCCAGGCTGGCAGTCAATGGGGTCAGACCTCCCGGGACGGCTTCCCCAGGCTCTGGGCTGGACGCCCGCGGGCAGGGCAGGGGCAGGGGCGGCCCAGACCACGTGGTCCTGTGTCACACTGCTGACCCTCAGTGCCATAGCCAGAAGTGCTGTCGGTACCACTCACCAGCTTCGGGGGCCTGGGCCCGGCTCCTGACCAGACGGCCGTCTGGTCCAATCAGCATCTGTCCCCGTGCAGGCCGAGGGGCCCCCGTGGGGCCGGGCTGTGGGGACTCTGGCAGGTGAACAATGGCACAGCCTTCATCCCACGTGCGGTCCATGTAGGCCTGGGCCCCGCGGAAGAGGAGTTGCCTGGTCCTCTCTGGAAAGACAGGGCATCCCACGTGTCCAGCTGTGCAGAGAGCGCCCCGGCACAGCCACAGCCCACGCGTGTCCACCTGCGCACAGCCACACCTCACGTGTCCACCTGTGCAGTGTGCAGAGAGAGCCCATCACAGCCACACCCCACGTGGTCACCTGCACAGAGCCACACCCCACATGGTCACCTGCCCAGAGCCACACCCCACACGTGTCCACCTGCCCAGAGCCACACCCCACGTGGTCACCTGCGCAGAGCCACACCCCACACGTGTCCACCTGCGCAGAGCCACACCCCACGTGGTCACCTGCCCAGAGCCACACCCCACGTGTGTCCACCTGCCCAGAGCCACACCCCACGTGGTCACCTGCCCAGAGCCACACCCCATGTGGTCACCTGCGCAGAGCCACACCCCACGTGGTCACCTGCCCAGAGCCACACCCCACATGGTGACCTGCCCAGAGCCACACCCCACGTGTCCACCTGCCCAGAGCCACACCCCACGTGGTCACCTGCCCAGAGCCACACCCCACGTGTGTCCACCTGCCCAGAGCCACACCCCACGTGGTCACCTGCGCAGAGCCACACCCCACACGTGTCCACCTGCGCAGAGCCACACCCCACGTGGTCACCTGCCCAGAGCCACACCCCACGTGTGTCCACCTGCCCAGAGCCACACCCCACGTGGTCACCTGCCCAGAGCCACACCCCATGTGGTCACCTGCGCAGAGCCACACCCCACGTGGTCACCTGCCCAGAGCCACACCCCACATGGTGACCTGCCCAGAGCCACACCCCACGTGTCCACCTGCCCAGAGCCACACCCCACGTGGTCACCTGCCCAGAGCCACACCCCACGTGTGTCCACCTGCCCAGAGCCACACCCCACGTGTCCACCTGCCCAGAGCCACACCCCACGTGGTCACCTGCCCAGAGCCACACCCCACATGGTCACCTGCGCAGAGCCACACCCCACGTGGTCACCTGCGCAGAGCCACACCCCATGTGGTCACCTGCCCAGAGCCACACCCCACATGGTCACCTGCCCAGAGCCACACCCCACGTGTCCACCTGCCCAGAGCCACACCCCACGTGGTCACCTGCGCAGAGCCACACCCCACGTGTGTCCACCTGCCCAGAGCCACACCCCACGTGTCCACCTGCCCAGAGCCACACCCCACGTGGTCACCTGCCCAGAGCCACACCCCACGTGGTCACCTGCCCAGAGCCACACCCCACGTGGTCACCTGCGCAGCCTGCACAGACCCGGCACAGCCAGCTCACCCTCCAGCCTCCCCGGACCCCACCACCACCCAGCAGCCCGGCCCGCGCTGCTCCTCCAGGATCGTTCTGGACGCGGGAAGGCCCTGTGCTGGCGCAGGCTCCTTCTCCCGAGCACGATCCCAGAGCTGTGCCCGGCCTCTCCCCAGCTCTCCCGTCTGCGCCCGGGGCCCTCAGAACCGGCAGCAGCTGGGCCCACAGCCCGGCCCACGCACAGCCCCTGACGCGTGTATCCCAGAGCCCTGTGCCCTCTGTGGGCCTCGGGCACCCACTGCCCAGGAGCTGAAGAGGCCACCGGGCTCCTTCACAAAGGGGAAGCTGGTGGCCCCCCCGGAGCAGCGACAGGGAATGCAGGCGGCGGCTGAGGGCCCAGCACACCTGCGCCCCTCCCCCATGCATAGGGCGGGGTCTCGCGACGAGGTCAATCCCGCACCGGCAGGGGCAGGTGCCTGCCCACTGCCTCGCTCTTCCCCTGCTGGGTGCTGACCCTGCACGTCCTTGCAGAGGGCACACACGGCCGTAAAGCCAACCTGCCCCGAGTGTCACTCGTCCTGTCATCTGCATGGCCCCGTTTCAGTTTGCCACCCGCGCCACGGAAGCTGGGCGAGGCGCGCAAGAGGGCCAGGGTCTCTCGAGGCGGCTGCTCGCTCCCAGTCCCCGGGCCCCGCTCCATCTGCCCTACAGGTACAAAGTTGTGTGCCCACCCCAGCCAAGGCAGGCCCTGCGGACCGGGGCCCTCACGGTGCCACTCCTCCTGCGCCCCGGCTGACCCCACTCAGCCCGCGCGCCCCCCACCAGGCAGCCCTGCCCACCTCTGGGCCCTCTGGCAGGCAGGGTGCGTCCATGAGCACCTGCGGCTCACCCTGTCCCGCACGTCCCACTCCTCGCCCTCTCCCGGGGCCTTCGGGGCACAGCCCGGGCATCCCCGCAGGGCACAACCCAGCGGACACGCCCGCGGGAGGGGCGGCCGCACGACCGGGCTGCGCGGAGCAGGTGGACGCACACTGACCCCAACCCCGGCCGTGGACGGCTCGCTTCCCGCGGCCTCCCAGCTCCCAGGGCGCCGGGTCAGCACGCAGGCCCGCTCAGCCGCCGCCCAGCGCGGACGCGGCGGCCACTCGGCTCCAGGCCGTCACGCGATTCCCGTCAGCACCCGCCCGAAACTCACCAAAGATTCCCCGCGAGTAGCGCTCGGCGCACACGCCACGGCCCAGCTCCCTCGGGCCCACGCGCACCTTGAGCTGCAGCGGGGCCGCGTCCGCGAACGGACAGCTCCGCTTGGGCATGGCCACGGGGCTGCAGGGCGCAGCTCCGCCGCGCCCGCGCGTTTGGCGCGGCCCGTGATGTCACAACCGCGCGCCCCCACCGGGGCCAGGCCGGGGGCGCGGCAAAGGCGCAGCACGGGATAGGCCAAGGGAGAACACGGGGGCGGGACTCGTGCGAGACGCGGCGCTCATAGGCCAGAGCCAGGTCGGGGGCGGGCCTCTTGCGGCGAGGAGCGGGACTCCGCGGCGCGGGAAAGGCCTCGGGCGAGGAGGAGTGCAGGAGGGGCCGTGGGGCGGGGGCGGGACTTGTGGCTCTGGGGCGGGACCCGTGAGAATTGCGGCACAGGATAGGCCGGGAGCCATGCTGGGGGCGGGGCTCTGTCCGGGCGAGGGGCGGGATAGGCCCGGGCTAGCTTGGGCGGGAAGAGCCGGAGGGCTCAGGATTTCTGATTTGGTCCCTCCTGCGGCAGAGACGGCTTAGATTTCCTCGTTTACGTCGTTAAAAGTTTTTATTAGCTTATTCGAAAGGCCGACTGGGGACGCAGCGCTCCCAACGCCGGCCGCGTCCTCAGCGGGCGGCGCGGACGCTAGCGCCTGTGCTCCTGGCGGGAGTGGGCTCGGGAGCCGGCGCTGGGCCCGCACCTGGCCTGGCGCTGGGCCGTGCGCGCCGGGCTCCCGAGGGGCGGCCACCCCCGCCCGGCTCGCGCTGGTGCTCCGCTGAGCCCCGGCCCTGCTTCGCCCAGCGCTGGGCAGAACCGCGGACCTCGGGGCCAGGGAGGCCCCGCCGGCCCCGCACGGGACCCCGAGTGCTGACCAGGGCCCTCCCGCACTGAGGGGCGCTGCGGGCCAGGCCCTCCCGCACGCGCGCTTCAGGCACTTGAACGGGGGAGGGGGGGTGACCGCAGCACGTGAACTGGGGCGGAGGGGACTGCAGCCGGGGGGGGGGGGGGGACTGCAGCAGGTGAGGGGGGAGTGCAGCCTGGGGGGGGGGGACTGCAGCCTGGGAGGGGAGTGCAGCCTGTGGGGGGGCTGCAGCCTGGGAGGGGAGTGCAGCCTATGGGGGGGCTGCAGCCTGTGGGGGGGGCTGCAGCAGGTTGGGGGGCTGCAGCCTGGGGGGGACCTGCAGCCTGGGAGGGGAGTGCAGCCTGTGGGGGGGGCTGCAGCCCGGGGGAGGGACTGCAGCCTGTGAGGGGGAGTGCAGCAGGTGGGGGGGCTGCAGCCTGGGGGGGGAGTGCAGCAGGTGGGGGGCTACAGCAGGTGAACGGGGTGGAGGGACCACAGCGGGTGCCCTGGGGGGGACTGCAGCAGGTGAGGGGGGACTGCAGCAGGTGGGGGGGCTGCAGCCTGTGAAGGGGAGTGCATCAGGTGGGGGGGGCTGCAGCCTGGGGGGGGAGTGCAGCAGGTGGGGGGGCTGCAGCCTGGGGGGGGAGTGCAGCAGGTGGGGGGCTACAGCAGGTGAACGGGGTGGAGGGACCACAGCGGGTGCCCTGGGGGGTGCACAGCTTGGGCACACCCGGTTTCAAGCCCTGTGTTCAGAACTGGTCTCAGTGGGGGACACAGAGGCTGCCCTGCCCCGGGGGAGGGGAGCCCTGGACCAGGTGCCGCTGGGAACCAGCATTTGCTCAATGGCATCATCTGCCCAGGCTGCCGTTGGTGCGGGAGGGCCCGGCGCTGCGGCACGGCACAGCGGGTTAACGCCCTGGCCTGAAGCGCCAGCATCCAATACGGCTGCCGGTTCGAGTCCCAGCTGCTCTTCCGATCCAGCTCTCTGCCGTGGCCTGGGAGGGCAGTGGAAGATGGCCCAAGTGCTTGGGCCCTGCACCCACGTGGGAGACCAGGAAGAAGCTCCTGGCTCCTGAGTTCAGCTCAGCTCAGCTCCGGCCGTTGCGGCCATTTGGGGAGTGAACCAGCGGATGGAAGACCTCTCTCTCTGTGTCTCTATCTCTCTCTGTAACTCTGCCTGTCAAATAAATAAAATAAACCTTTAAAAAAAAAAAAGAGCCGTGTGGGGCTGGCGCGGGGAGCAGCGGGCTCTGCCACCGCCCGCCCGGGAGTTCTGCACCCCATGTGGGCGCCGGTTCCAGTCCGGCTGCTCCTCCCGCCCAGCCCCTGCTGTGGGCCGGGAAGGCAGGGGTGGTGCCTCAAGGCCGGGGCCCTGCACCCACTCGGGAGACCTGATGGAGCTCCAGGCTCCTGGCCCTGGCCCGGCCCAGCCCTGGCTGCAGCACTTGGAACCAGCGGATGGAAGACATCGCTCACTTGCTCGCTTCCCCCCACCCCCAGATAAAAAGAACTGGGAAAAACAAAACAAAACAAAACAAAACTGTTGTTAACAAAAGGAGGCCTGGGTGTTTGGAGTGTCGGTCAGACAAGCGTGGCTGAGCGGCCGCGAGGTGAGGTGAGCCCAGCAGGAGGGCTGGAGCGGCGGGCACCGTGGGCTCGCCGTGACAGGGGTGCTGGGGTCACTCGCTGTCTGACTGTAAGCCAGGGAAACTGGAAGTGAAGCTGTGTCGCTCGTGTCCGGTGCCGCTGGCACACAAACGCCCAGGGGCCCCGGCCGCCACCCCCCACGGGTGACCTCGGGTCTTCCCGTCCCTGTCCCGGAAGCTTCTCTGTGCCATCTCCATTGCGTGTCTGTGTGGGCGTCCCCCTGGGAGGGGTGCTGGGCTGCAGCTGTGCGGGCTTGCGGACACGCGTGTCCCCTGTGTGCCGGCCAGCCCCGGGGTGCGCGTGTAACCTGGAGAAGCCGGCAGCCCCCCTGCTCGGGGAAGCTCCTACTTTCCGGGTGCCCGTTGTGGTTTTTCTCCCGTCTGTCTGGCCTTGAGGTCGGGGCCTGGGGCTGGGTGTCTACAAGGGAACCGAGGGACGTTCCCCTGGGGGCGCCAGCCAGAGCCGCTGCTCAGGGTATGGACGCCGAGACGCGGCGAGGAGGCTCGGGGAGACAGAACAACCAGGGCCACTGCCGGCAAGGGTGGCCAGGGCCCTCGGGCTGTCCCTGGGGTCACGCGTGGGCCGTGGGGCAGGGGTGCAGCCGCACAGGCGGTGCCAGCGGGCGTGGCCATCAGGTGGACCGGCCGCCTGGAGGGCCGAAGTGAGAAAGTTGAACTTGGGCTCACCACGGACCAGAGAACTCACGGCAGTGACCAGGTCAGCAGTGCCGCCCAGTGGCAGGACACAGCCCCGCGGCTCAGCCGCCCTGCTGTCCCCTCCCCTCAGTGTCTCAGGCCCTGACCTGCCCCCCGCCCCCCTCGACGCCCAGAATGGCTTCCTCGGCAGCTTCCTGAGAGCCGGGCAGGTGGCCGGATGCCCGCGTTTCCCCGTCTCCCTTCAAATCCTCAAGGCCACTCAGCCCGGTCTGGAAAGGTCGCCAGGAGTGCCTGAGTCCCGTGGCCCTGGACGCCGTCCCAGGAGTCAGCAGCCTCTCAGGGTGCGGCCGGCCACTGGGTCCCTGGGAGGGGGCCGAGTTGGCCTCCACGGGGAGAGCCGCTGGGACAGCGCCCGCAGGCCTGGGCCACGCTCTGTGCGACTCTGAGGGGGACCCCGGCCCCCGGGGCAGCCACGGCCAGGTCAGGTGACACAGGAGGAAGCGACCAGGTGGCCCCAGGAAGGGCCTGAGCCCTGGACCACTGGGACCCCAGGGTGTCTTGGTGCAGGGTTAGTTTGGGGAGCTCTGGGCTTGGCTGATACCCGGGCTCTGGTCGTGGGGAGCCAGCGCTGACCAAGTGGACACACGCAGGAGCGCCACCCCGCTTGGCGGCCCCGAGCCCTTTATTAGGTAGGACACAGCTCCCCCGGTGTCGCGGCGACTCTGGAACGTGGCCACGGCGCCGTCTGCAGGCGGGCCTAGAACAGCTGGATCATGGACTCCCGGGATTTGCCGACACCGACCCACTTGACTGCAAGGGCAGAGGGGACCCCGTGACCCCGTGGCCCGGCGCTGCCTCCCTCCCAGCGTGCCCCTGAGTAAGCGCAGTGGCCCTGCTGCCGCAGGTGGGGGAGGGACCATGCACAGGGGTTCCCTCTGCCACGGGGCCCTTCCCGCAACTCCTACGCGTGCCACAGTGTGCGGGTGCCCGAGCCCTTTCACCAGCGTCTGCCTGCAGCCCACGCTGTGGGTCACCTGTGGGTGACTCGGCCCCGGTGGCGCTGGGACGCCCTGGGAGCTGTGCTGGCCGCATGGCCCCGGGGAGGGAGGACAGGGAGGCCGGGCCGTCCACGGCCGGCACAGGCATCGTGTCCCAGCGTTCCCGCCTGAGACCGGCTGGCGTCACGGGCGTGGGGCCTGCGCCTCTCCCCACGCTCCTCCCTGTGTTGCGAGCGAGCCGCAGGCCTGGACGCCTGTCACTCTGCGCTCTGAGCTGTGGCCCTTGCTGGCAAGGTCCCTGGGGGCCCCTTAGGGCACTGCCCCGGTGACCTTCCTGGGACGGCACCTGTGCCCGGCCCCGGCTCCGCACTGGTCTCTATGGGGGGCCAGGAGGGGCGGCTGGGCAGGGGTCAGGGCACCCACCGGCCACTCCCACGTGGTTCTCCACGAACCGCACGTAGCTCTGGGCCTGCGGGGGCAGGTCCTCCCACTTCCTGGCGCCCGTGGTGTCCGCCTTCCAGCCGGGCAGCGTTTCGTACTCGACCTCCACTTTCTGCAGGATCTCCTGGTTGGCTGGGGGACACACGGACGCGGGCAGACGTCTGTGTTGCTGCAGGAAGCACTCGCCCCCCCGCCCCGGCCCGGGGCCGCCCACCCGGGAGGACAGCGCCAGGACAGCGGCCCTGGTTCCTCTAGCAGGGGCAGGGAGGCAGGGGACTCCCCCCCCCCACCCCGCTGGAACCCCGGGGGGCGGAGCCAAGGCCCGCCTGGAAATCCGGAGACTCCAGAGCAGCTGGGTGCACGGGGGGGGGGGGGGGGGGGGTGGCTCCAGAGCAGCCGGGCTTCAGCTTCAGCGCCCCCTGCCTGCAGGGCGCACGGGGCGGGGGGGTGTGTGTGCCAGCCGACCTCACGGAGCCGGCCAGGAGACGGCCCAGCAGGCCTCAGTGGGGCGCCCCCAAGGTCAGGGGTCAACCACTGGGACGCAGGGGTCAGGCCCCCGGCACGGGCTCAAGGGGCATGTGCAGACGCACGAGTGACAGGGACAGCAGCAGGGGCCCCGGGAAGGAAGCAGGCGCCCGAGCCCAGGCCCCAGAGCCGGGCGCCGCGTGTTGGGGGAGTCCAGCCCAGCCGGCTGGGAGGCGCCCGAGCCCCCGCTGAACCCCCCCAGGAGAGCCCCAGGCTGCGGGGGGCGGGCATCCAGAACCGAGGCTTGCTCTTTGCCCGGCCGGCCCCGAGTGGTCGCCAGCTCGTCCCACCCACCTGGGAAGTAGGGGATCCTCTTCCCGTTGAGCTTGTAGGCCACGCCCACTTTGATCTCCCCCAAGACGTCCAGGATGTCCAGCTTGGTGAGGGCCAGCCTGTGCGAAACCAGAGATGAGACGAACCACAGCGTCAGCCCCGGCGCCGCCCGTGCTCGCCTCTGTGGCTTACGGCGTGCAGACGAGGGTGACAGATGGGCGTGGTGTGGCCACGTCCCCTCCCCGTGCCCTGCCGGCCCTGAGGACACGGGGAGGCCAGGGGTCCTCACTGCCTTTTCCGTTTCTCCCCCCTCCTGTGTTTGCTCCGTGCCGGGCGGCAGAGACCTCAGCGGGGGCTGGGGAGAAGCCGTGTGAGTGCAGCTCACGGCCGCGCCCCGGCTTCCCCGAGCGGAGGATGCAGGGAACCCCCTGCCAGCTGCCTTTCTCTCGAGGCCGCTCTGAGCAGCCCCGACCGGACCAAGTCCACCTGCGGGGCCCCGGGGCCCTGATGCCCCTCCTGCCTCCCAAGGGCTGTTGACCCGGCCCACACCCCTCCCTCACTGCCGTGTCCTGGGGCCACCTTGCCGGAAGGTCTCGGAACATGGGGGGGGGGCCCTGTTCTGAGCCGAGGTGGCTCCTGGACTCTGGGGGGAGTCGGGCGTGGCCTCCTGCCCAGGGCACCTCGCCGTGGGCGGGGCCGTGCTGGCCGGCTCCTGTGGTGTCGGCGGACGTGCCGGGGGGCTGCTTACGCGGTGAAGCCGTTCACCATGTGGGCGTATCTCAGGATCATGAGGTCCAGCCAGCCGCAGCGCCTCTTCCTGCCCGTGGTCACTCCCCACTCGCGGCCGCGGGTCTGCAGCAGGTCTCCGGTTTCCTGGCGGAGGACAGCGCGGACGGTCCCTGGGCGAGCCTCAGTGCCAGCAGTCCCCCCACGTCTCTCCCTCCCTCCCAGCCCAGGGGAGTCATCGGAGCTGCTCTCCTGTCGGCCCCACACCCCACTGAGGTCCACGCACGAAGGGCCTTGCTGTCCGGTGGGCTCCGGGCTGGCAAGCGCCCCCACAGCCAGAAACCAAGCCCTGTGAGCACGGGGGTTCAGGCAGCCCCGGCCACTGCCTGCCTGATGCAGGCTCCACCCTGCTGGCTCCCCTCCCCGCTCAGGCACAAGAACCAGGCACCTGCCCAGCCGAGGGTCACCGGGGGCCTCCCCGTGTCCAGGACAGCCCCCCAGGCTGTGGAGGGGGCCTCCCCATATCCAGGATGGCCCCCAGGCTGGGGAGAGGGCGTCCCGCGTCCAGGATGTTCCCCAGGCTGTGGAGGGGGCCTCCCCATATCCAGGATGGCCCCCAGGCTGTGGAGAGGGCCTCCCCATATCCAGGATGGCCCCCAGGCTGGGGAGGGGGCGTCCCACGTCCAGGATGGCCCCCAGGCTGTGGAGAGGGCCTCCCCATATCCAGGATGGCCCCCAGGCTGGGGAGGGGGCGTCCCACGTCCAGGATGGCCCCCAGGCTGGGGAGGGCCAGGCTGGGCTGTGTGTTTAGCTTCAGTCTTGGCTCAGCTGGACAGGGCCTCCCAGATGGGACAAAGGTGGCCTGACTGCCCAGGGAATGGCTGCGTGGACACACGGGGGTCAGCTTGCAGTACCAGGGCGCTGCCTGGACTCCCTGCCCGCGAGAGGGCCAGGCACTCACGTTGATCTGCTCGGTGGGGAAGGCCCCGATGCCCACGCGGGTGGTGTACGCCTTCACCACGCCGTACACGTCGCCGATGTTCTGGGGAGGGATGCCCAGGCCGGTGCACACGCCACCCACGGTGCAGTTGGAGGAGGTCACGAAGGGGTAGGTCCCTGCAGGACGCACCAGGTCCAGTGACACAGGAGGGCTCCATCCCTGTGCGTCCCCTCGTGGGGGCGTCAGGGGGTGTGGCCCGCGGGGGCTCGCTCAGGAGTCGGGCGAGGAAGGCAGGGGAGGGCTGCCCCTGGCTGGGAGTGGGGTGGCCGGGTGTCGTGGGGCTGGGGAGGGGACAGAGACGGAGGGAGCCTCCCACCCTCAGGCCGGCCCTTCGCCCACTCCTCTCCCTGCCAGGTTTGGAAAGCTGGGGACACAGGTGCAGCCGGCGGGGCCAAGGGACAGGCAGCGCACCGAAGTCGATGTCCAGCAGGGCGGCGTTGGCCCCTTCCACCAGGATCTTCTTGGGAGGGCCGTGGAGAGCCTCGTACATGAAGTAGACCCCGTCCCGGACCATGGGTCGGACGCGCTCGGCCAAGCCCTGGGGCCAGGTGCAGTGTGAGGTCCCGGCAGCCGGCAGGCCGAGGCCCCTTGCCCCCGCCTGCTGCCCCCAGGCCTCACCTTGAGCCGCCTGAGCTGACCGTCGACGTCTATCTCCAGAGCGGGGAACATGGACTGGTGCTGCTGGGCCAGGTTCTTAAATCTGCAGGGGGGAGCGACCTGTGAGCCCCCACGGCCCCCTCCGGCAGCCTCGTCCTGGCCGCACTCCGCACGCCGCCCCGCCCCCGCCGAGATGGCCCAGGTACCTGGCGGAAAACTCGTCAAAGTCAGACAGAAGGTCGCAGACGCGGAGGCCGGTGCGGGCGGCCTTGGAAGAGTAGGTGGGTCCGATTCCCTTCTTGGTGGTGCCGATGCTGCGGGCGGGAGTGGGCGCCCGTCACCGCCATGCCCCCCCTCCTGGCGCAGCCCCTCCAGCCCAGGGCCCGCCCTAGGAAGCCAGGCCTGGGACAGGTGGCGTCCCAGGCACCTCCCCAGCAGCAGAGCCTGGGAGCCTGCGCTTCCACCCAGCCGTGCGCAGCACTGCCCTCGGCGCCTCCGTCTGCGCCACTGCCTCGGCCGCCCTTAGGCACTGAGCACAGGCGCCGGGCATCCGGGCACCGTGCTGGCCCTGGCTGGGCGCGAGGCTCGCCACGGCCACCCTTGTCTGGCTGGGTGTGTGTGAAGAAGGGCCTGGGCATGAGCACGCGTGTCAGTGTGCGCTTGTGTGAGTGTGTGCACGTGTGCGTGTACATCCGTGTAGTGTGAGTTCACCGGGAGTGTGCACCTGCGGGCGTCCACCTGTGTCCATGTTTGCACCGGCGGGTGAGCGGCAGGCAATCGACCCTCCAAGGCAGGACCTGCCTGCTCACTCCTGTGTCCCCGGCTCATCAAACTCTAATAAACATCCTTGGAAGGTAAGTGCAGGACTGTGGGGTGCAGGGGCCAGGACGGCGCCGTGGGGGCCTCGGGAGGCAGGGCTGCTGGAGCCGCCCTGGGGATCTGCCTGTGGCCTGCGCATGGCCAGGGCTGGCCTAGGCTCCCAGCAGCCTCGGTGGGCATGGCCGGTGCACAGGGCTCCAGCAGGCCTCGGGGGTGTGTGCGGCAGTGGCAGCGTGAGTGACAGGCAGCCAGGCAGCCCGGGACCCCGGTGTGGGGGGTCGACCGTCCCCCACCCCCCGGCGCCAGGCCGCTGACACTCACTTCTTGCCCTCCTGCGCCTGGCGCTGCACTTCCTGGAGCCCGTCGACCGCCTGGTGGAAGTCGAACACTGGGCACAGGAGAGAGGCGGAGGCCCGGGGGCTGAGCCGGCTCCCGGGGACCAGGGAGGGCCCCCCGCTGCCACGCCCAGGCTGCCACGCCCAGGCCGCCACGCCCAGGCTCCCTGGGTCTCCCAGACCCGAGTAGGGCAGTAACCCCCCCACTCCCACACAGGAGCCCTGGTTAGGGCTGAGGGACAGGACAAGGGCCTGGGGGCTCCGGGGCTGGGGCCGTGCAGTCCACAGCGCGGCGCCCACGCCACGTGCTCACCGAGGTGCGCCCGGTCAGAGATGATCAGCCTCCTCTCCCAGTCCTTCAGGCCTGCGGGACACGGGCAGTGGCTCTGTCTCCCCAGCTGCGCTCACGCTGGCACGGGCTTCCCCTTCCCCTCGCAGCTCCCGGACCCCTCCCCAGGCCCCGTGCCAGGCACTGCCCAGCGAAAGCACGGAGGCAGCAGCTGCCCGGCTCACTGCCTGCCCACGGGAGACGCCCACGGGAGACTCCCACGGGAAAAGTCCCGGCTGGGGCAGGTCCACAGGGCCCCAGGCCCACCTTTCTTCTCGTTCTTCTCTGCCTCCTCAAACAGGTCTGGTAAGTGCACCACCACCCCGTTGCCTGCAACATGACCCAGGAGACGGGGTCACGCCGTGCACATCTGAACATGCGTGTCTGACACGACAGAGGAGACGGGGTCACGCCGTGCACATCTGAACAAGCATGTCTGACACGACACAGGAGACAGGGTCACACCGTGCACATCTGAACAAGCCTGTCTCACATGACACAGGAGACGGGGTCACGCCATGCACATCTGAACATGCGTGTCTGACACGACACAGGAGACGGGGTCATGCCGTGCACATCTGAACACGCCTGTCTGACACGACCCAGGAGACGGGGTCATGCCGTGCACATCTGAACACTCCTGTCTCACATGACACAGGAGACGGGGTCACGCCGTGCACATCTGAACATGCGTGTCTGACACGACACAGGAGACGGGGTCACGCCGTGCACATCTGAACACGCCTGTCTCACACGACACAGGAGACAGGGTCATGCCGTGCACATCTGAACACGCCTGTCTCACGACGCACAACATGGGGTCACACTGCACACAGTGAACACACGTGTCTGGGTGCTCGGAATGGGCCTGCCGTGTACGTGGCAGCAGAACCCACAGGGAGCCAGCGGCCACTGACAGCTGAGAGCGTGGACATGAAAGTGGGGGCCCCACACGCCAGCCTTGGGAGGGGCGGGGTCCTCGGCCCCTGCTGTGGCCGGGGAAGCAGCAGAGGAGGCTCAGGGCCTGGGCCCTGCAGTGGAGACCGGGACGGAGCTCCTGGCTCCCGGCTCCCGCCTGGCCCAGCTCTGGCCACTGTGGCCGTTTGGGGAGTGAACCAGTGGACGGAAGACCCCTCCCTCCCTCCCTCCCTCCCTCTCTCTGTCTCTCAAAGAAATAAATCAGTCTTTAGAGAAGGAGGAAAACGGAGTGCACGTGCAGGCCCTGAGCACGGGGCACTGACGAGAGCCGGGCGCGGCAGGACAGGCCCTGGGGGCCCAGAGCAGCCCCAGCCGGGCCCCCGCTCCTGACCAAGTGGCCTCCAGGGCGGCCTCCTGGCTGCAGTCCAGCCCTACCCCAGGCGTTCTGGGCACGGGGGAGCGAGCCAGGGCATGGCCCCCCCCCCCCCCAGGAACGACTTAGCTCGATGGCTGCCAGGGCTGGGGAACCCGGAGGGGGAGGGGTGGCACCGCAGGTGCGCTCCTGGGCATCACCCAAAGGAGCCGCAAACCTGAGCCTGGATGCCCACAGCAGCCGCCCTCAGACACGGACCCGTGAGAGGGGCTCCCTGGCCGCTGCTCGAGTGCCCGTCTGTGCGCTGTCCCGGCCAGCCTCCCGCCCTGGCCCCAGCAGCCTGGCGAGCGCCCAGGGAGCTCAGGGCGGTCAGCAGCCCACTTCCCCCAGTGCAGTGGGGAGGTCCCCTCTGCGGACCCCCCCCCCCCGCAGCGTTGGCTCCAGGGTCCGCTCGTGGCTCCGCCCCTGCTTTCCTGTGGGCGGTACCAGAACGCGGAGGAGAACCAGAGGTCGTTGTGACCCGAGGGAGGGGGCGGCGGGATCAGGGAGAGGGGGTGCGGGGCTGGGGGGGTTGGGGTGAGGGGCTGGGGGAGTGCAGGGTGGGTGGTGTCGGGGGTGCGGGACGGAGGAGGGACGGTGCGTGGCGGCCGCGTGGCGTCTGTCCTTTGTAAACCGCGGCACGCAGTGGGCGGGGCGGGGGGTGGTGGTGCGGGCCGCTTGTTCTTCGCACCTAAAATCGCCCCAGCAAACCCTACTTAGAAACGCCAAGGCAAACACGGGACTCCTCACGTTTCTACACCATTAAAACTTGGATCAAAACAAAACCCGGACCAGCCAGAAAGCACAGGCTGAGCGCAGGGGTCGGCCCCCGGCAGGCGCCCAGGGTTGCGGGGTGCTGGGAGCCTCGCGGGGTGCTGGGAGCCTCACGGCGCATGCGCACCTCATGCACGAGGGCGGCGTCGCCGCGGGGGACCCGGGAGCCGTAGGGAACCCAGGGACACCCAGCCCGCCTTCTCTGCCTCCGAGGCCCAGAGGCCACGCACCAGGGCGGAGCCTGGCCCGGGGACAGGGGACAGCAGTGCAGGTGGACAGAGCCAGAGAGTGCCGGGGTCACCTAAATGCCACATGTCCCGAAATAACCTGGTGGCCGGCGGGGGTGTCGCAAGCCCTGCGGCTGGGAGCCCAGCACCTCCTGCCCCTCGCTGCCTGGGGCCTCTGGGGCCCTGCCCCTGCCGACTGCCCAGCCTGGCCCTGGACGCTGCTCCTGGCCCAAGGCTCCTGCGGCGCAGCTGGGAGCAGCCGGGAACAGGCAGGCGGCCACCTGGCTGGCCAGGCCTCCCCACCACACCCCGAGGACCAGACAGGGTCTGTGCCCAAGGGAGAGGAGCCCAGCCCCTGACCGTGCGGCCTCTGCGTCACTGCTCACGTCCAGCAGTCTGGGCACTGTGCCATAGCCTCCACCTCCTGACAGCAGTGGGGTGGCCTCAGCCATGTCACGGCGTGGCCTCGGCCTGTGAGCGTGGCCTCAGCCATGTCACGGTGTGGGCTTGGCGGTGTCACGGCGTGGCCTTGGCTGTGTCACAGCGTGGCCTTGGCCTGTGAGCGTGGCCTTGGCCGTGTCACGGCGTGGCCTCGGCCTGTGAGCGTGGCCGGCCTCGGCTGTGTCACGGTGTGGCTCCCTGCAGTGGTGGAAGGAGCTGGAAGGTGCAGGGAGCCAGCCTGGGTCTCAGCGAGGGGAGGGGCCCAGCACTGAGCCTGCAGGGTCTGGGGGCAGTGGGGGGAGGGGCGGGGCAGGAAAGCATGGCCATTCATCCCAGGGCCTGGGCGCCACAGACACATGGACACACACCCACACACACGCTCACGCACCCACATGCACACTCACTGGGGGCACACACACATGCACACTCACTGGGGGCACACACACGCACACACATGCACACTCACTGGGGGCACACACACGCACACACACATGCACACTCACTGGGGACACACACGTGCACACACATGCACACACACATGCACACTCACTGGGGGCACACACGCACACTCACTGGGGGCACACACACACATACACACACACTCACTGGGGGCACACACATGCACACTCACTGGGGGGCACACACACATGCACACTCACTGGGGGGCACACACATGCACACTCACTGGGGGCACACACATGCACACACATGCACACTCACTGGGGGCACACACGTGCACACACACGCACACACACATGCACACTCACTGGGGGCACACACGCACACTCACTGGGGGCACACGCGCACACTCACTGGGGGCACACAGATGCACACACATGCACACTCACTGGGGGCACACACACGCACACTCACTGGGGACACACACGTGCACACACATGCACACTCACTGGGGACACACACGTGCACACACATGCAGTCGTACACACATGCTCGTGTTCAGGCACACGCACACACGCACACACACGGGGTCCGGGTGCTCAGCCTCCTGCACCCCCAGAGCCCGGGGGAGACGCTGGCTGTGGGGGCTGCCCAAGCTCTGCACACTGCTGAGGACAAGCCCACAGGCCTGGGTGTCCACGAGGCCCTCACCACACTGACCAAGCCCCTTCCGGTCTGCCCCCAGCGCTGGCCGAGGCCCGTGGCCCTGCAGGCCTTCCTGCACGGGGAGTGTGTGGCCTGGGCCGGGCCGGCACTCACCGATGAAGGACACAGCCTTGGGGTTGATGATGCCACTGGGCAGCAGGTGGAAGTCGTACTCCTTGCCGTCCACCACCACGGTGTGGCCAGCGTTGTTGCCACCCTGGGAACAGAAACCCGGCTGAGCCGAGGGCCCTGGACAGGGCTGGCCCGAGAGGGGCCTGCGCGGCGCCCGGCCTCACTGGGGGCCATCTGCGTCCCCACAGCGCTGTGGGGGTCCCCAGGGCTGTCCATGCTCCGGTGTGGGCAGTCTGCTCCTGTGGCTGGCTCTGACACGGGCCTGGGTTACTGCCTGGCTCTGCCAATGGCACGGGCAGGGCCGGGGGACTGGAGCCGAGGGCTCGGGCAGGGCTGGTCCAAGCCCTCCGGAAGGTGGCACGGTGCCAGCTCAGCAGCTGGGTTCCCTCCTCTGAGGCAGGAACGGGGGTCCCGTCCCCTCCAGAAAGCTCACTCTTGGTGCCGTGGCTCGACCTGCCATCACCCTGTCCTCAAGGTTCCTGAGGGCTGGTGTAGGCGTGAGAGCAGTGGAGGCTGTGGCCTGGGTGCCACCAAGCCCTCGTGCCCCGGCCTGGAGGTCCAGTCACCCAACGGGCGCCTCTGGCCCTGCCTGCCCTGGGGGTGCGGGGGCCCTACCCTGGGCACTGCCAGCCTGCTGCCCATCTGCCAGTGGTGGGCTTCTGTTGGCCAAGGGGCAGGAGCGCCTCTCTTCCACCCTGTGGCCATCACCCCAGCCAGGCCCCACACGAGCCACAGGTGGCCGTGCCACCCCCAGGAACCCATGTGGGCCGGATGTGCCAAGGCCCCGGGCGCCTGATGGTCCAGGCTGCAGGAGGGCTGCTGACCCTCCTCCCTCCCTGAGGCTGCGTGGCCCTGTGGCCCCGCTGTGGCCCCGGCCCCCAGGCTGCCCTGCTGGGCAGGGGCAGCCGCTGACACCAGCACCATGGCCAGTCTGCGGCCTCGGGCCCCAGGCCCAGCCCAGCTCCCTGCAACACCAGAGACGCAGGCCTGGCCCCAAAGCTTCGCCTCGGCTGTCCGTGGGGCCTCCTGCCCGGTACACCCTGTTTCCTCGGCCTCACTTGGGGGCAGGGGCTGCAGTGCTGAGGGGCCTCAGCCCCTGGCCGTCCCACAAGGCCCCTCAGGAAGGTCGCCCACGCCCCTCCCCTCAGCGCTGTCCGTGGGAGGAGGACCTGCCACCCACGCTGCATTGGCACAAGGTTCCCAGGCCCCAGCTTCTCCTCCGGATCTGGGGGCACCCCCGACAGGAAGCCCAGGCGCAGAGAGGGGCGGGCACCAGAGACCCCCAGGGACCTCCCTTCACACAGGCAAGCCTCACCCAGGCCCAGCCGTGACCTCTGCCAGAACTGGCTCCATGGCACGGCCCCCAACAGCCACGCCGCCACCCGTGGGAGGGTCTGTCCAGGTGCACCCCGGAGTCAGGGTTCACGGCACTGCCAGAGCCCCAGAGGGGCCTCCCCAGCTCAACACGGACCCAGCAGGGAGCCACAGGATCCGGTGTGGTTCTGGCAACTCCACCCCGCCCGCCTCCTCCCCAGGGACGCCTGTGGGCGGAGCTAGACCTGGGGAGGCAGACAGTGTGGACTGGGGCAGCTGCCCCTGGAGTTAGACTGGGAGGAGGAAGAGGCCCGGAGGATGGTGCAGGGGTGGGGGGGGGACGTGGGAGAGCCTCACAGGGTGAGGGGACAGTGACAGGAGAGTGACGGGTTGGGTGAGGGGCAGTCCTTGGCGGGCAGTCAGGATGAGGTCTCCGTGGACACTGCACGGAGCCTGAGCTCCGGGAGGGGGGAGGGGCGTGGGCAGCAGGGCCTGGGGAGCACTGCCTGTCACCCATGGGCTCCCACACTCCAGGCTGGCCAGCGTCCAGGACCCAAGCGCCGCGGCCGGGGCCAGAGGGGTCCCGATGCCCTGTGGCCCCGCTCTCCTCTCCGGGTGCCCAGGCCAGCACCAGCTCAGCGGCCCCAGTACACAGGGACAGCCGGAGCCCTCCCAGCAGACACAGGTGCCTGGGGACAGGCGGGGCGCCTGCCAGCTGCTGTCACGTGACTCAGGCCTGGGCTGCAGGCCACGCCCAGGGGACAGGAACCAGCCTGACACACCGCCTGGTGCCGATCTACAGGGGCGCCCAGCAGCTCCGTGGAGTCCAGGTGACAGCCCCTGGAGGTGACAGTCCCTGAGAGACCCCAGTTTTTCTTCCCATGGTCCAGTGAGGTCTCAGGGTGTCCAGCCACACAGGGGTGGCTGGTGAGGGTGGGGACAACCCCCCACTTCCTTTAGTCTCAACCTGGGGTTCACAAGGGCAGTTGGGCACCAGGGACCACCCAGGGCGGGCGCAGTGTGGGTTGCTGACCTCAGAGCGCGGGGGCCGCCATCCCACCCAGGCAGCTGGCTCTGAGCTGTGGCCCGAGTTGGGGGTCACCCTGGCAGGGTGGCTGGGGCTCCAGGGCTCCCCTCTGTGGTGGAGCCTTGCTCAGGCCTGGGCACAGCTCAGGGATGTTCCCTGCCACGCCCAGCCCGCAGTGGCCAAGGCCACACCCACTCGGGCCTCAGACTCAGCCCTGACCCTTGCTCCGTCCCTCCCTCCCTGGGCCGGGGGCCTAGGGCTGGAAGCAGGGAGCCCCTCCTTGGATGGCCCGCCTCGCAGAGCCCGAGTGACGAGGACACACGAGACCCCCACCCACCTCCGCTGGCCAGCCCTGCCCGCTGCCCGGGCAGCGCTTGTGCCCACCTGCTGCCTGGGGGCGGGGCCCTGGAGGATGCCCTTGCTGGGCGCGTGGCGTCCTTTGTGGGGCTTCACTCACCATCTGGCGGGAGACCACACCCCGGGCAGGTGCAGTGCGGGGCATCCTGGACACACTGCTGCCCTCCCGCCCAGAGCGCTTCCCACAGACTCCTGGGAGAGCCACGGACAGCCTCTCCAGGCACGGCGCTGCCACCAAAGGCAAGGCAGGACACGGCGATGGCTGGCACCACCACCACCCGGCTGGACACCAGGCCCAGCGGAGCTGTGAGTTCCCTCGGAAACCAGGAGAGCCCCCAGGACAGCGAGTGTCCAACCTCGCAGGACGCGGAGCCACAGCCGGCGGGGGCTGGGAGGAGCGGGCGTGGGCCCACAGCACCGCAGCAGGGCGGCGGCAGAGGGGCTGAGCGGCTGGAACAGGGGAGGAGGCCCGGGCACCTCCAGGAGGCGGGAGGGACAGCTCTCGCCTGTCCATCTCGCCATCCAGCCTGGAGGGGAACAGGGGGTCCCGAGGAAGCCGAGAAGGGAGGAGGTGTGGAGGGCGGGGTGCAGGCACCCCACACACTCCGCAGACTGAGAGCTGCCCTGGCTGAGGCTGTGGTGAGAAAGGGCTGTCCGGGTGCTGGGCAGGCAGGCAGAGCCCAGACCGGGACAAGCGCTCCAGCCCGCTCTGCCCTGTGCCTCGGCCCTCCCCCCAGCCCTGCATCCAGGCAGCACCCACTTCTGCTGTCTTCACGCAGCACCCTGAGAGGCAGCCTCTCTGGGTGCCTCGCCCACCCCCGCCTGCCAGCCTGAGACAGGTGGGACACAGAGAAGCCTGGAGGCCCCGTGCCAGGGGTGACACATGAGGGGAGCCGGGGTCCCCAGGGCCAACGGGCAGGAAACTCACAGAGGGCAGCCCGGCCTGGAGGGAGGGGCGCGGCGCGATGGCATGGGGTGGACTGGCGGTCCTGGCCCGGAGCTCCTGTGGTGGGCGTGTGGCATCCACCAGGGCCCGGGGCTGCCAGCTGCTCTCCTCCTCCAAGACCCCTGGCCTCAGTTTCCCCTGTAAAGGGCTGGCAGGAGGACCCCCGCCCTGGCCTGTCTGCAGCTGGGAGTGGTGCCCGGAGTGTTGCCCCAGGTGGCAGACCAGGGAGGGCCCAGTGCCGACTGTTTCACAGCTGGACCAGAGCCCCCGGTCACTGCGGGGCAGGGAGTGGGCGGCCGCGAGGCCATGACCAGAGCCGCCGGGTCCAGGGAGGCCTGGGCACTGGGCCCACTGCCTTGGCACTGGGGCGTCTCCAGGGAGAGGCGCTGCACCCGGTGGACACACGCCCCGGCCAAGGGGCAGGAGCAGAGCCCACGGGGGCAGGAGGGGCCCTGGCGAGCCGGGCAGGCTTGTTAGCTGTGCCCAGGGCAGAGAGGGGGTGGGAGACCCCCACCCAGGGCAGGAAGAGCCTCTGGGGGTTGCTCTCAGGATCGCGCGGGATACCCCGCTTCACTGTGGCAGGGGCGGGGGGCGTGTGAGCCCCGGAGTGGCCGGCTCTGTGCGAGCGGCCAGGGCCGGCACCAGGCACAGCAGCCTGCATCGGGCGGAGGCCAGGCCTCCTCACCCGCACCGCCAGCCGCAGGCCCAGGCTCCGCCCTCTCCCAGGCCGGCCTGCACCCTCCAGAAAGGTGGCCGCCGCCCAGTGAGGCCTTCCCCCCCGCCCCGCCCCCGGGATCGGGGTCCCCACCTCGGCGCCCGGCATTCACAGCTCTGCCCGGGGTCGGCGCTGGAGCCGGGGCGGCGTGGCCCCGGGGGGAGGGCCCGGGCGGCCCGCACCTGGCAGCGGCTGACGATGTCGGCGTCCGTGGCCAGCAGGTCCACCACCTTGCCTTTGCCCTCGTCTCCCCACTGCGCGCCCAGCACCACGGTCACGCGTGTGCCAGGCGCCGCCGCCTCCTGCTGCGAGCGCCCTCGCTTGACGCCGCCCGCGCCCGGGGGTCGCTCGTGGGTCGCTCGCGGCGCCGACATCGCGCTCCGCTCGCCGGCTGCGCGGGGCCGCCCCAGGGTCCGCGCCATTAAAAGGCCCGGCGGGGAGGGGCGGGCCGGGGGCGGGCCCGCCAGGCGCGGTGACGCGCGGTGACCTCGGGCCGACCGCTCCCGCCCGCCGCGCCCCGGGGCCGCCGAGTGGCCGCGGGCGCCCCCGGGAGGGCCGGCGCGTCTTGAGGGCCGGAAGTCCCGCCAGACCTTTGGGGGCAGGGGTCGTGCCCCACCGCAGGGTCCACGCGCGCTGGGGGACGCACCTGCTCAGCGGCGAGCCCCGCGTGCCCGGGGAGGACGCGCGCGCCCTCTGGTGGCCGCGCATGGGTGCGCCGCGCCCTGCCTCCGCCCGCCGAGAGAGCAACTGGCCCCAGCGCTGTCCAGAGCCCCCTGCCCTAAGACCCCGATTCTGGGGTCGTGGAACCCGTACTGCTGGGCCAGCAGCCGTCAGCACGTCTCGAAGGCGTGTGCGCTTCTGTCCGGACCCAGGCTCCCTGGGGGCCCACGGGCGACCTTCCTGGCCCAGGAGGTGGGCACAGGTTGGGATGGGGAGGATGGGCCTGTCCCCTGGGGGCTGTTGCTGCAGCATCCAGGCCAGTGACAAGACAGGAGACCAGACACTGCCGGCCACAGGAGGCCTCGGACGTGGCTGCTCACAGCAGGGGTCGCCTGAGAGGGGAGGCTCAAGGGGCCCCTCTTTGACTCTCCTTGGGGGGTGCCCAGCCCTGTCCCCAGCCTGGGCAGAGTGGCTGGGCCCCCACCGGCAGCTGCCCCTCTGCTGGGCCCTAACCGCAGGGGGGGTCACACTCTGCCCAGTCCCTGCTGCACCCCGTGGCGAGGATGATCACTGGGTGGGGGCGGGGGGCCTGGTGTGAGGTCCCAGGCCTTGGAGGAGGGGCGGGCTGTCCTGTGGGCCGGGCAGGCGGATGCGGCAGGAGCAGCCAGGAGGCTCCCGGGGGGTTTGTCTGCAGCAGGGGCGTCCATCAGAGCTGCACACTCACTCCGGGCAGGGCTGCAACCCCGGGCCCCTGGGGGTGCCGGGGACCAGAGCATGGAGGTCACTGGCTCTGAGCCCTTCCCAGGGAGACCCGGGGCTCCAGGACACGCTGGGAAGAGGGGGAATCCCTGGACAGTCCACTGTGGGGTGGAGACTGGCCATGAGGGCCAGGCAGGCAGCCCTATGAATAGCTCAGGCCAGGACCGGGGGGGGGGGCATGCTTCTAAAAACGGTGCCACGGGCAGCTGGCCCAGCAGTCACATGGCCTGGCCTGAATTAGAACAGCCCTGCCCCCACCCCGGGGCCTGGGCATGGGGGCAGCACCACAGCCCAGAGCGGCTGACCAGGCTCTGCTGTGGTCTCCACCGGTGGGGGCCGCACCTCGCAGGGGCCTGAGTGGACACGGACAGGCCGACATACACAGCTGCCTGCGGGGCTGCTCCCACAGGGGGGCGGGGCCCAGGGCACCAGGCCGGGGGGCAGGGCCTCACCTGCCGGGCGTGAGTGGCGCATCAGTAGCCCAGGGCCCTTAGCCCTTCACTTGGGTGGGGGTGGGGGTATGTGAGTGGGAGGAGCTGAGCTATTTTTTTAAAGATTTATTTATTTATTTGAAAGAGTTACTCAGAGAATAGAGAGGCAGAGAGAGAGAGAGAGAGAGAGAGAGAGAGAGAGAGAGGTCTCCCATCCGCTGGTTCACTCCCTAATTGGCTGCAGCGGCTGGAGCTGTGCCGACAGAGCCTCTTCTGTCTCCCACGTGGGTGCAGGGCCCGAGGACTTGGCCATCTTCTGCTGCTTTCCCAGGCCAGAGCAGAGCTGGATTGGAAGTGGAGCAGCCGGGACTCGAACCGGCGCCCACATGGGAGGCCGGCACTGCGGGCGGTGGCTTTACCCGCTATGCCACAGCACCGGCCCAGCTACTCTTTTATGTATTCACTCACCCGACAGAGACAAGCCAGCGCTGCTCACGGGCTCCATCAATGCTCACAACAGCCGTGGCTGGGCCGAGGCAGGGCACTCAGTCCAGGTCTCCCGCGGGGCGGCAGGGGGCCAGGGTGCGGCCTCCTGGGACTCAAGTCAGCAGGAGGCCGGAGCCGGGAGCCGGAGGTGGGGGCTGGACCCAGCAGTGTGCCGGGGCTGTGGCGTCCCTGCCGGCCAGCCAAGGTCCACCTGCCGCTTAGCTATTTTTATCTTAACGGGGACGGAGATCGGGGCTCTGCCTGGGAAGCCAGCGTGGCAGTCTTGTGAGAAGTCAACAGGAACTTGGCCCTGGACCCTGCCCAGCCTCGCCGGACCCTGCGTCCTCACAGCCGCGGCCCGCCAGGCACCCATGCCGAGGGGCACCGGGCAGGTGTGGAGCACAGCTCCCTAGGGTGGCTTGGGCAGCAGGTGCCGACTCCAGGGGGCCCGGGCCATGGGGCCTGGTGGCCAGGTGCCGGGGGGAGGGGCTGGCCTGCTTTATCCCCACCTCCTCAGGGCTCCAGGGGCAGCCCCTGGCTGGGGTGGGGGGGCAGGGACCTCAATCAAAGCTGGGGAGGAGGAAGCTGAGCCCACAGGGCCTCACGCCCGCCCACCCACCAGCCCCCGCAGCCTTCAGGGACTGGGGAGAGGCCGGCAGGCTCCCGGCAGTGGGGGGGGGCAGGAGAAGGGGCAGTGGGCGGAGGTGCCGGGAGACAGGGGCCGCAGCACTCTCACCCCGCCCCCGCCTGCTCTGCCAGACACAGGGTGACAGGGGAGATGCGTGGGTGCCTCAGGTCAGGAGGGTCAAGGACCCTGGGCATCCAATCCAGACCAGGAGTGGCCGGCCGGGCAGGGACCACCCCCACCCCCCAACATCCAGCTCCTCCTGCACGCATCGCCCCTCCCCCCGCACCCCCCAACTCCCACAGCCGGCACACAGCAGTCAGGGCAGGGCCAGGCTTGTCTTTATTGGTCTCACTCCTGGCACACACCGGAGGAAGGAGTCAGGGCAGGGGCTGGGTGGGCAGTGGCAGGGAGGGGCCTGCTGGGGCGCCCCGAGGCCCTGGCTGGGTAAGGCACGGACTTGGGGTTCCCTGGGGTCTCGCTCACTTGGCTCTGGGCTTAGGCCTGGGTCCTGTGGGGAGAGGAAGACGCCCTGGTCAGCAGCAGTCTCCATGGGGCCCCGCCCCTTCCTCACTGCTGCCCGGCAGGCCGAGCCTGCGGCCCAGGTCCACTCGGACCCCAGGATCTTCCTCCGGACGTGGCAGGCTGGCTCCATCCCTGCAGGGCTCGGCGCCCTGAGCCTGGGTGCCCCCTGCTGGACGGGGAGCCCCTGTGGCCTCCCCGGGGGTCTCAGCCGCACCCTGGCCTCAGCCCCCACCTCCTGGGGCTCCCCAGTCTCCAGGCCTTGCCTTGTGGTCCTTTTCCCGCTCCCAGAGCCAGCAGGGGCCCCTGGTCGGCCTCGTCTGCACCCCCGGCCACCCTGCTGCAGTTTAGCCAGCGCTGGGAGGGGACGGGGCGCGGGACGCAGCGCCGCCCCCACCGCGGGCACTGCGGGCTGCCCGCCGGGGCTGCAGGAGCCAGCCTGGCAGCTGTCCGTCAACACTCAGGGGAGCACAGCCGCCACGCCAGGCTCACAGCCCAGACAGACGGAGGGGGCGCTGGGTGGGGGGCGAGGGCCCCCTGCAAAACCCAGGGACAAACCCGTCCCAGGCCCCGCCCTGGAGCTCTGGGGCGGGCGTGGGAGGGGCGGCACCAGGGGCCCAGGGGAGTGAGGAGAGGCGGGTGACACAGGCCCGCCTGTGGACACCGGCAGGTTTCCGGGGGCCCGCGGCAGGGGCTCCTGTTGGGTTCGAGTTTTTCCAGACAAAAGCTCGCTCGGGCGAGGGGAGGGAACACAAGCAGGCACAGCAGAGCCGCCAGGGGGCTGGCGGTGGAGGTCCCGTGGGCCTGGAGACCGCCCGTCCCCGGGGGGAGAGCCCGAGCGTGGCGCCAGCCTGGGAGCACCGCCGCCGAGGAGCCGCGGGGCCTCCCGGCCCTGTGTCCACATGGAGGCTTGGCCGCTGGGCCTGCCCTGCCCAAGGGCTCCCCCGCTCCTCACAGCCTCCTGGGACTCCCCTGGGCCCAGCTGGGGACGGAGTGGGGGAGGCGGCGTCCCCGTTACCAGGCAGGGTCCAGACAGCGTTAGCAGGGACGCAGTTAGGGCTGGGACGCACACAGGCGCAACCTCAGGCTGTCCCGTGGCCGGCCGCCGGGAGGCCTCCAGGGGCCGCCCCGGCCCTGACCTTGGCCGCCCAGCCCCGTCCACCTGCCCTCTGCCCACAGCCAGCGCTGAGGTTGCGTCTGGGGTGGCACGCGCCGGCCGCCCGACCGCCTGCGGGCGAGGGCCCACCACCGACAGGACAGGCGTGGCCGCGGCCAGGCGGGCTGCGCAGAAGCCGGGTCAGCGTCCAGCGGGCGGCCGTACCTACCTTACTGCAGCACACACAGCCTTCGTGTCTGACTGTCACCATCGGGGGCGACCTCTGCTTCCAACAGAAAACCCAGGGTGGCTCGCACGGGGGCCTCGGGGGGGGGGCGGGGACACAGGAGGGGCCCCCGAGCCGCCTCCCGGGGGCGCCATGAGCCCGCCCGGGGCCCAGAGCCCGAGTTACCTTCCTGGCCCCTGCAGGGCCGCTGCTTCCTCCGCCGGCCCGAGCCCTTGGCAGCTCGGCCCCGCGCCCGGGGCAGGGTGCCGGACCCCGAGGAGTCCGAGAAGGACTTGTCCAGGGACGTGTCCAGCGCGGACTCCGGGGCCGTGTCCTCCTCGCCCCCCAGGTGGCTGCAGCCATGGCCGTGAGCAGCTGGGTCCTGGGGCGCCTCGCCCGTGCTGTCGGCCTCCACCTGGTGGACGCCACCCAGGCCTGCAGGGTCCTGCTGCTCCCGCCTGGGACTCTCGGCTCCAGGGGGCTTCTCGCAGGAGAACTCCAGGGGCTTGAGGGCCTGGTCGTCCCCCAGAGTCACTGGCCAGGCCCCCGTGGAGGGCAGGGGGCTCGGGGCGTCCTCGCCGGCCAGGAAATCGCTGGCGTCCTCATACCAGGAGGAGCGCCTCTCCGGGGGCAGGGGGCTGCCCTCCTCTGGGGGCTGGGGGCTGCCCTCCTCCGGGGCTGGGGGGCCGCCCTCCTCTGGGGGCAGGGGGCTGCCCTCCTCCGGGGCTGGGGGGCTGCCCTCCTCTGGGGGCTGGGGGCCGGGGTGCAAGGCGTCCACCAGGTCCCAGTCTGGAGGCTCGGAGCAGGCGCGGCTGGGTGCCGGGTCGGGGGCAGCTGCTGGGGGTGGGGGGCTGTGTTAGGGTTGGGACCTGGGGCCTCCTCCCTCAGACTGAGCTGCTACCGGGGAGCCTCCCTGTGCTCCGCCCTCTGACCGGTGGCCTCGGTGTCTCTGGGGGTGGCTGTCCATGGGGACACGCCGCCCAGCCCCACTGCCCCAGGCAGCCGCCAAGGGCCGGGAGCTCCTCCTGAGGGCCTGCTGTCACTCCCACCCCCTCAGCCACCAAGCCCCCATCTCTCCTGGCCACCTGAGGTGCCCCGGGGGAGGAGGGGGCACAGGGCTTCCCTGGAAAGTCGGGAGGGCTTCCCGGAGGAGGCTGCGGGCAGAGCGTGGGGAGGGAAGGAGAGCAGGTGGCACGACTCACCGGGCTCTGCAGTCTTTGGGGGGTCTGGGGGGTCCTGGTCCCCGCGGCCACGGTGCGTCTTCCGCAGCCGGAAGCCCTTCCTGATGTCGGCCAGCAGGGCGTCGATGACGCACACCTCCTCCTGCTGCGCGGGCCCCCTCCTGGCTGAGAGCAGGCGCTCAGGGAGCCACTCTGGGGGAACCCGCGCCCACCCGGAGGAACTGCGGCCACTGCTGGTCGCCGTGGGGAGGGGCCTGTGGCTGCCCCCCCCACCCTTCACCTGGCTTCCCCCACTCCCTTGGCTGTCCCGCCCCCAGCTCGACAAGGGGAGGAGCCTGTGGCTGCCCCACCCCCAGCAGCCAAGTGAGGGGCCTGTGGCTGCCCCACCCCTTCACCTGGATTTCCCCCCTCCTGTGGCGGCCCCGCCCCCATCTGGCTCCCCGCCCCCCATGATGGCCCCGCCCCACCTGCCCCCCTCGTGGCGGCCCCGCCCCCTCACCTGCCCCCCGTGGTGGCCCCGCCCCCTCACCTGGCTCCCCGCCCCCCGTGGTGGCCCCGCCCCCTCACCTGGCGGCCCCGCCCCGCTCCGCAGCTTCCGCGCCTCCTCCTTGGCCAGCTGCTCCTTGCGCGCCTTGTTCTCCTGCGGGGCACACGGAGCCGGGTGAGGGCCGCGTGGCGGGGCTCCCCGGGCGGCCCAGCCCGAGCCCCACCTTCAGGGCGCGCAGGAAGAGGTCCCGGAAGGCTCTCATGGTGCTGAAGGTGTCCTCCAGGGACAGCTGCTGGGGGTCTTCGCACAGGTACTCGGCCAGCTCCTGCCGCCGCCGCTCCACGGCCTCAAACAGCTCCTCCAGCGCGCGGGAGGCCGCGATGCTGGCCTGGGGCGGGGGGCGCGGTCACACACCCACGGCCGGCTCAGCGCCACAGCCCCGGGGACCCTCCCACGGGAACCACCTTCAAGAGAGGGGAGCCGGCCAAGTCCCTGCCGCCCCGCCCCGCCCGCGGCCCCGCCCCGCCCGCGGCCCCGCCCCCGCCCCGCCCGCGGCCCCGCCCCCCGCGGCCCCGCCCCGCCCCTTGCCTGCAGGCGCTCGGCGTACTGCTCCTGCACCTCGGGCAGCGAGGCCGACACCTTCCGCTCGGCCTCCAGGAGCTTCTTCAGGTTGGCGCTGGCCTCGGAGCGGAGGATCTCCAGGTTGATCCTGAGGGCGGGAGGGCCAGGACGGGTCAGGGGCTGGCTGACGTCAGGACGGGGCGGGACGAGGCCGATCCCTGCCGGCCGCCAGGAGCCTCAGGGCGGCCGGAGTGACCGCCCCTGCCCCCAGCTACCCTGCCCAGCCCCAACCCCAAGGCCAGCAGCTCCAGGAGCCCGGGAGGGGCCTGTGCCGGCAGGGGCGGGGCCTGGCTGCCCTCCCACAGCTCCCCCGCCCCTTGTGTGACCCGGGAGGGCGGCCCCGGGGCCTCTCGCCCAAGCCACAGTGGACACCGTGGTACGCGTGAGCCCCTGCGTCAGCAAAGGTCAGGCTCCCTCCTGGACTGGGCTGCTGGGCGCCAGGGACCTGGAGAGGACCAGAGGTGGGGGCCCAGGGGCTGGCAGGAGCTACTACCCCGCGGCCCGGGAGGGCAGCTCCAGGTCCTGTGGCAGCTGCAGGAGGTCCGGCTGGGTCTTTTCCACTTCCTGCAATGGGAGGCGGGCAGTGAGGCCCTGCCCGGCCACCCCGCCCCCAGCCCGCCCCCAGCCCGGCACCATCCCGCCCCTGCCCCAGCCCCTGCCCAGCCCTGCCCCTGCCCCTACCCGGCCCCAGCCCCCTGGCCGGCCCCGCCCCATCCCAGCCCCTGCCCCGCCCCAGCCCCCTGGCCGGCCCTGCTCCATCTCAGCCCCCCCCCGCCCCGCCCCGGCCCCGCCCCCTGGCCGGCCCCGCCCCAGCCCAGCCCTGCCCCGGCCCCGCCCCCTGGCCGGCCCCGCCCCAGCCCAGCCCTGCCCCGGCCCCGCCCCCTGGCCGGCCCCGCCCCGTGCGTACTCACCTCCAGCACGTGGTGCAGCAGCGTGACGCGGCCCTGCAGGGACTTGGTCTCCGTGAGCTTCAGCAGCGTGCTGATCTTGAAGCCGTCCGCGTCCCCCGTGTGGCTGCCCTGCGAGGGACGCGCGCGTGTGTGGCCCCGCCCGCGCCCGCCAGGCCCCGCCCCCGGGCCGCCCACTCACGTAGTTGAGGAAGTTCCCGATCTTGAGGATCAGCCGGCAGAAGACGGGCAGATGGGGGCTGGTGAGCAGGCCTGCGGGCGGGGGAGGCTGCCTGACCCGGCGCCCCCAGGCACAGCCGGCCCGGCCCCGCACCCACACCGACCCCGCCCGCCCTGCCAGCAGCACCAAGGGGCCTTCGAGAGCACACAGCCGCAGTTCTCGGCTCACCCTCCCGACCCCCGCCCCGAGGCGGGTGGACATCCCTGCCGTGTCCCCAGCAGAAGCGGCGTGGCAAGTCCCTGCTGTCAAGATGGTGTGAACACGTGTGCACGTGTGACTGCACACGTCCATGTGTGTGCAGATATGTGCACACGTGACCGCGTGCCTCACACAGCGAGGGGCGGGGTCAGCTGTCAGATCCCCCCCCCCCGGGCCCCACTCACTCTCGCAGGCGTCCAGCACCAGCTGGGCCTTGGGCCGCACCATGTCCAGCACGATGGCTGTGCCCTCGCCCAGCAGCATGCACTCCACCCGCAGCTGGTAGCTGGGACAGCAGGGCGGGGGTCAGGCGGGGGCCCCTGTCGGGGGCTGTGGCTTCGCTGGGCTGGGCTGGGCAGGGGCCATCGTGGCCACCCCCAGGACGGAGCTGGGACGCAGGCAGGAGCCTGGAGGACCCAACTCAGCTGCAGCCAGGGGGGCCTGGGGGCCTGGCAGCTTGGGGAGCCTGGGGACTCAGCCTGGGGGCTCAGCCAGGGGTCCTGGCAGCTTGGGGGGGCTGGGGGCTCAGCCAGGGGGCCTGGCAGCTTGGGGGGGCTGGGGGCTCAGCCAGGGGGCCTGGGGGCTCAGCCTGGGGGCCTGGGGGCTCAGTCAGGGGGCCTGGGGGCTCAGCCTGGGGGCTCAGCCAGGGGGCCTGGGGACTCAGCCTGGGGGCTCAGCCAGGGGTCCTGGCAGCTTGGGGGAGCTGGGGGCTCAGCCAGGGGGCCTGGGGGCTCAGCCTGGGGGCTCAGCCAGGGGTCCTGGCAGCTTGGGGGAGCTGGGGGCTCAGCCAGGGGGCCTGGGGGCTCAGCCTGGGGGCTCAGCCAGGGGGCTCAGCCAGGGGGCCTGGGGGCTCAGCCAGGGGGCCTGGGGGCTCAGCCTGGGGGGCCTAGGGGCTCAGCCAGGGGTCCTGGGGTCCCAGCCAGGGGGCCTGGGGGCTCAGCCTGGGGGGCCTGGGGGCTCAGCCAGGGGGCCTGGGGGCTCAGCCTGGGGGGCCTAGGGGCTCAGCCAGGGGTCCTGGGGTCCCAGCCAGGGGGCCTGGGGGCTCAGCCTGGGGGGCCTGGGGGCTCAGCCTGGGGGCCTGGGGGCTCAGCCTGGGGGCGGGGCCTGGGAGCCCAGCCAGGGGGCCTGGGGGCTCAGCCAGGGGCCTGGGGGCTCAGCCTGGGGGCTCAGCAGAGGGCCTGGGGGCTCAGCCAGGGGGGCCTGGGGACTCAGCCTGGGGAGCCTGGGGGTACCACCTGGGGGCTCAGCCGGGGGCCTGGCAGCTTGGGGGGCCTGGGGACTCAGCCTGGGGGGCCTGGGGGCTCAGCCGGGGGGGCCTGGGGGCTCCGCCGGGGGCCTGGCAGCTTGGGGAGCCTGGGGGCCTGGCTCTTCGTAAGGAAGGGCTGGGGCGGGCGGGTGACTCTGGAGCGATCATCTCCTGGCTCCTGGCAGCCCCTGGCTGCTCCCTGCCTGGGTCCAGCCACTGGCCTGGGCTCTCCTCTGGCCGGGCCGGGTACTCACCAGGGGACGTCCAGCAGCAGCAGGTAGAACTGGTCCGCGCTGGCCAGCCTGGCTCGGTCCTCAGCGAACGCCCGCAGATTCTCAATCTGCAGGGGTGCGGCCGAGTGTGGCGATCCCGCTGCCCGCAGCTGCCCACCCTCCTCCTGCCCCGCTCCAGCCCAGGCACAGCCCCGTGGGGCTGGCAGTGCAGGGCAGGGCTGCAGGGAGCGGGGGCTCCCTGGCCTCCGTCCCCCGGCCCCCTGCTGGCCACGGGGACCCAGAGGGGCCGCACCCACCTCGTGCTTCTCCGGGAGCAGTTTCAGGAGCTGTCTGAGCACCTCCGTGTCAAACCTGCTGGTGTCTCCGGCACGGATCATGGCCACCACCTCCTCGTTGGAGCTGCAGGGGCGCGAGGGTGCGGGAGCGTGAGTGTGCCCCTGGCTCCCAGGCACCTGGCCGTCTTCACACACCCACGAGGCACGCAGGCGGGGCTGGTCAGCACAGAACGAGCCACGGTCCCAGGCCACACGGTGGCCGTGGCTCAGGGCCGAGCTGCACTCTCTCTGCCCTGGTGCCCGTGAGCCCCCTGGAGGGACCAGTGCCCCACAGCTGCAGTGGGGAGGCCCTGGGACGGGACCTGGCCGCTGCTTCTCGGTGGCCTGGGAGGAGGTCCCGGTCCATCCTGGCCTTGGCCTCGGGGAGGCTGGACTGGCCGTCTCCAGGCTGCTGGGACCCAGCGCTGTGCCCTCCCCAGAGCGGCCAGCAGGGGGCACTGTGGCACCACACTCACCACTTAAACTGCTTCAGGAAGATGTTGAGGTTCAGGCTCTTCCTGGAGTCCAGAAAAGTGACCTGCAGAGGCCCGGAGAGGCTGGCACGGCGTGGCGAGGCGGCAGCCCGTCCCGCTCGCCCGCCCCGGCCCCGGCCCCCCACCTCCTTGGGCTCCTTCCTGGCCGGGGCGGCCGCCGGCTCCTTGGGCTTGTCCGCGGGGAAGGAGAAGAGCCGCTCGAGGCTGCCGAAGTCGGGCTCCAGGGCCGCGCTGCCCGGGCCGCTCAGGGCTGCCCACATGGAGTTGCGCTCTGCGGGCGGGGGGCAGCTGCCCAGGCGTGTCCTCCCGGGGCCTGGGGCCCAGCGCCCAGCAGGCCCCGAGGCCCAGTGCCTGTGTCTGCCTGGCAGCTGCCCCCCACGCCGTGGCCTCCCTGTGGCCTCAGCAGAGCAGTTCCAGCCCCCCCACCTCAAAGGGAGGCCACTGGGGGCGGGGCCTCACCTCGGGCCACGCTGGACGGCAGCTTCTGCCAATTCAGCTTCTTCATGCGCAGCGTGGGGGGGTTCACGCGCCGGTGGCTGGGGACCCGGGCGGAGCCCAGGCCGTGGTCCACCTGGGACACGATGACCTCCTCCACCCCATCTGCTCCAGGGGGACCAGGCAGTGGGGGTGGGGGTGGGGGGCCCCCGCCTGTACCAGGCAGCGGGGGTGGGGGTGGGCATCCCATGACTGGGAGAGGGGGTGGGGGAGGTGGCACTGGGGGATACGTGGCCCCCTGGCCTGGGAGAGGGGGTGGGGGAGGCGGCACTGGGGGATACGCGGCCCCCTGGCCTGGGAGAGGGGGTGGGGGAGGGGGCACTGGGGGGCACGGGACCCCCTGGCCTGGGAGAGGGGGTGGGGGAGGCGGCACTGGGGGGCACGTGGCCCCCTGGCCTGGGAGAGGGGGTGGGGGAGGGGGCACTGGGGGGCACGTGGCCCCCTGGCCTGGGAGAGGGGGTGGGGGCACAGTGGCGAGGCTGGGGAGGGGGAGGGGGGTTGCGGCTGTCGGCTGTGGAGCCATCAGGTCCCTGGCACTCGGGGTGCTGACCACGTGTGGGCAGCTGGCGGCCGCTGCTGGCTGCCGAGTCCCCAGGTCGGCCGCGGACGCAGCAGCGGCCTGGGGGGAGCTGCCCGGCGGGCTCAGGTTCGCCTGGACGCTCTTGTGGGCCTGGCTCAGGGGACCCGGCCGAGGCCTCCCCTTGGTGGACAGCAGCCTCTCCACCAGCTCCTCCAAGGTGCTTTCCTGGGCTGCAGGGGAGGCGGGTCCGAGGTCACGGTCAAGGTCGAGGGTGAGCCTCAGCACGGGGAGACCAGGAGGGAGCCCCCACCTGCTCACCGTCGCTGGCCAGGAGCACCGCCCGGTTCACCAGGCCCTCCAGGGCCTCCCAGAGCAGCTGGCTGGCGCGGTGCGAGGGCTCCAGGTGCAGGAGGCCCTGCAGCATGGACAGCAGCTGGGTGGACGCCGGGGAGCAGCTCACCTGGGGGGGGCGGATGAGGGGGCGGGTCAGCGGTGCGCCTCGCGGGAGCCCCGGGGGATTTGGGGCAGCCCTGCGCGTTGTGGGAGGCCACGCCAGCCAGCCGGCGGGGGCCCAGGCCGGCCCAGCCAGCTCCGCGGCTCCGCGGCGGCTCTGTCTGGGGCAGCGCAGCCCAGCACCGCTCCCTCTCTGTGCTGCCCCCGCGCCTGGGGGTCTCGGCCCAGGCCCACCTTGTGGAACAGGCGTGCGAACACCTCCTGGTGGCTGTTCATGTCCACGCCACCCGAGACGCGCAGCAGCTCCTCCTCATCCTCGGCCTTGGCCTCCTCGAAGGCCTCCAGCTGGATCAGCAGGTCCTCGTCCTCCAGGTCCCTGGGGGCGGGGCGCGCACCTGCTGCTCCCACCAGCCCCACCCGCGCGGCGGCTGGGTGGCAGGGACCCAGGTCGGAGCCCACTGGCCCCTGGACAGCGCCACACAGGCCCGGGGGTGGCACAGGATGGATGGCCAGGCCCTCCCAGCACCAGCCTTGGGCGCGGGGGCCCAGTGGGTTTGACAGATGGACGGCAGGGCAGCGGGGACTCAACGAGGGTCAGCATCGACGCCACACACCCTGCCCTGCACCCGGCACCCGGCCTCTGCGGGCAGCCAGCGGGGCCCAGCCTGAGTCCCGGCCGCAGGCGGAAGCCACCTCTCCACCCACCGTGCGGTGCCGCTGGGGCGCAGGGGAAGGGCCCCGGCGGGCACTCACCGCAGCCGGGTCAGGACGTCCAGCAGCTGCAGCCCTGGGAAGGGACAGACGGGGTCCGGGGGTCACTGGCACCCTGTGCTCCGTCCCAGCACCCACAGCGCCCGGCCCGCGGGGCAGGAGGGGGCAGCCTGGACACACGCGTGCTCATTAGATGGCCACGTAGGGGGCCAGGGCTTCCGAGGCGCGTGTCCGCTGCACAGGCGGGGGCGGTCCCCTGGGGCCCTGGGGTGCGGTACAGCGGGGCAGGGTGCGGCCGTGGTGGGGGTACCGATGAACTCGCTGCGCAGCTGGGCGCGGGCGCGGACGTCCTCGGGGCCCAGGATGACGGCGTTGACCACGCTGAGCAGCGTCACCACGTACGGGACGTTGTCACTGTCCGACAGCTCGTTCATGATGACGCTGAAGCGGTACTGGTGGCTGCACACGGCCTGCGGCGTGGGCGGGGTCAGCGCGTGCCCTCCCGCACGGAGGCCCCGCGCCGGCCGGGCCCCGGGCCGGGCTGCCCACCTTGTAGTGGTCCAGGGCGTCCAGGGCCAGCGCGTGGCCCGCGGGCGAGTACACGCAGAGCGCGGCCAGCAGCTCGAACACCTGCTTCTTGACCATCACGTTGGCGGTGTCCAGGGCTGCAGGGGCGGGGCACGCGTCTCAGGGCCCAGCTCTGCCTTCGCCCCTGCAGGTGCACGGCTGCCCCCCCGGCCCTTGGTTCTGGGGGACCCCGCTGGCCTGGGCCCAGGGGTGCTCCGAATTCAGCACTAACTGTGGCAGACAGCCCGGGCCGCCTCCCGGTCCCCAGGACCCCTGTGCCTTTCACAAAGGCACAGCCAGGCCCAGGCTGAGGTCTGCCTGGCCCCGGGCCCTTACTGGGACAGGTGAGGCCACCCCTGGCCCCATGACCCATGCGGGCACCTGCCCACTCCCATGAGCTTGGCACCCTGGACCCCCAACCCCCCCAACTTGGCCCTCTGCCTGAGAGCTCAGGCATCAGCTGGCGGGCAAGGGTGTGTCCCAAGGGGTAGGGACTAAGCCTGGGAGACTTCCTGGAGGAGGTGGCCATGAGCAGGAACACAAGGAATGCACAGGACTTTGGCATCAGCAGAGGCCAGAGCGGCCAGAGCGGGGGAGGGGAGGCGGGGGCGGGGCTTGGCTAAGGCCAGCCAGGTGGGGCAAGGTGGAACGCAGGTCCTTAGCAGGTGCAGGCCTGACCCAAAGGGTGTGGAGCTGGGCAGACAGTGGGTGGGAGCCGCTCAGGTGAGCGCGGAACCTGGAGGGTGGGGGCCAGCACCAGGCTAGGGGAGGCCCGGGCAGGTCACAGATGGGGGGTAGAGGGTGTCACTGAGGCGCTGCTGCCAAGCTGGGGGCACCGACCCTGCTCCCCAAGGACCAACCCTGCCCCCCAGGGACCAACCCTGCTCTCCAGGCACTGACCCTGGCCCCCTGGGGACCAACCCTGTCCCCCAGGCACCGACCCTGGCCCCCTGGGGACCAACCCTATTTCTCTGGGCACCAACCCTGCTCCCCAGGGACCAACCTGGCCCCCCAGGCACCGACCCTGGCCCCCTGGGGACCAACCCTATTTCCCTGGGCACCGACCCTGCCCCCTGGGGACCAACCCTATTTCCCTGGGCACTGACCCTGGCCCCCTAGGACCAACCCTGCCCCCCGGGCGCCGGCCCTGCCCCGGAGCCCCGCTGGCGGCCTCACCCTGGCACAGCTGGCGCACGTAGGCCTGGTTGCCGAGGATGTACTGCAGGCCGGGCGGGGAGTTCATGACGGCGCGCACGCAGCTGACGCAGGTGAGCTGCAGCAGCGCGTCCGCGATGCGCGCCACGCCGCGGCCCGACAGCCGCGCCAGCGCCTCCAGCAGCAGGTCCAGGCCGCTCTGCTCCAGGAACTGCACCATCCAGACGCCATCGCTGCTCTCCAGGCGCTTGCGCAGGCCCGAGTAGTTGGCCACCGAGGGCACCTGCAGCAGCCGGATGCACAGCTCGGGGCCGGCGTTCTCCAGGTTGGCCTCCGTCGGGTCGGAGTCCTGCGGCCCCAGGCGCTCCTTGAGCGCTGCCCACTTGCGCTGGGCGCCGTCCTTCACCGACATCCTGCCGAGCTGCGGGGCCGGGGTGGGTGCAACGGTCAGTCCACCCCAGGGCCAGGCGGCCAGGGCCCCGGCGGCGAGCAGAGGCGGCAGCTGCCCCCGGGTCCCTCCACTGTGCTCGAGGAGCCCCGCGCTCAGAGCCGTGACCGGAGGGGCTGGGCCAGAAACCCGAGTCGGACTCAGACACGGAGACACGCGTGCACCTGCACACGCCCTGACGTGGAGACACACGCGTGCACCTGCACACACCCTGACATGGAGACACGTGTGCACCTGCACACACCCTGACAGGGAGACACACGTGTGCACCTGCACACACCCTGACATGGAGACACGCGTGCACCTGCACACACCCTGACAGGGAGACACACATGTGCACCTGCACACACCATAACATGGAGACACACACGTGTGCACCTGCACACACCCTGACAGGGAGACACGTGTGCACCTGCACACACCCTGGACACGGACACAGAGACACACACACATCTGCACACACCCTGGACACGGACGGGCGGGGAGAGGCCCAGCAGGGGCTGCCGGGGACGTGCAGAGGACCCTATCTCGCCCACGAACACTTCCCGGGCTGCCCACAGCATCAGGAGTGTGGCTGGCAGGGCCGGAAGCGAGGGTGGCCGTGTGACGTGGGGGACGGCCTCTCCAGGCCTGGGTCTTCTGGCATGGGGGTGCTGAGACAACCGGGGGTAACTGGGGCTTGGGGTCTGATGCAGCCCAGGGCGCGGGGCGGAATGCCCTTCACCTGCCCTTCCCTAGAGCAGGAACCAGGCCAGGCCGACCGAGCCCTGGGGCCCCCAGTTCCGTCCCTGCCCAGCTAAGGCTGCAGACCCTGGGGACTGCCCAGGCACCTCCCACCAAGTGCGACTGGGGCCTTAAATTCAGCTCTGAGAACCCAGCAGGAAAGAGCAGGAAGAAGGCCCTGGGGGCAGGGCTGGGCAGGGACGAGGCTCCCCACACCCACAGGGAGGCGGCAGCCCCCAGTCACCCCCAGAACCAGGGAGCCGTGGGCGCTCAGTGTGGGCTGATCAGCTGAGACTCCCTGGGCGGCATGGCCACAAGGGGCCGGGAGCCTGAGGCTGGGTCCTCACCCAGGGGCCGCGGGGTGTCCTGCAGCACCCATGCCACGGCCTGCCCAGCCCCTCACCCCCTGCCCTGCGTGTGGGCCCAGCCTGGGCCTGGCAGCAGACTCCGGCCACACCGTGCGTCCTGAGCCTCCTCCCGCCTGCAGGCTGGGATGGGGTGTGTGGGGGGGTGGACAGCCCGGAGCCCCCCTCGAGCCCCACGCACGCCCCAGCTGCCCACTCACCCAGACATGCAGGACCCTCTGGCCGCCTCTGCCCACCCACGTCGGGCCCTGTGGCCGGCTGCTCATCGGGCTGCCCGCGCACTGCCTGGCTGCGGCCCAGGCCCCGGCCCGTCTAGGGCAGCCCGAGGTCCCCAAAGCCCCTCTCAGCGGTGGCCGAGGCTCTGAGCACCACGAAGAGCTGGGCTGAGCCCTCTGCCCACCCCACCTGCTCGGGGAGGCGCGGCCCTCCTTCAGCCTCCCAGTGCTGGCCCTCCTTCCCACCCCTGCCCGCCTCTCTTGGCCAGAGTCCCTGTGCCCTTGGCACGGCTGAGTGGACGCAGCACGAACTCTCCCAGGCCAGGCCTCTGGCGCCCGTGGTGTCGGTCTGGCCGCGAGCCCCGGGGTCCCTCTGTGCAGACCCTGACGCGCTCAGGCCTCAGCGGCGCCTCTCCTGGCTCTGCCCTGGGCACGCCCAGACCCCGGAGCTATGGGCCTGAAACCCCACAGCTAAAGGGGCAGGGGGCAGAGCAGGAGCCGCTCTCCATCCCCCGTGATGTCCAGCACCAGGGTCATCTCCCAGGCCGCACCGGGCGAGCCAGCAATGGCCACCGCCGGATGGGACTTGCACCTGCCACCCGGGTGCAGAGCAGTCCACCCCGACATGGCCGGCACATCTGTCCCCTCACCGGGTACCCGGAGCCCTCCCTGAGGTCATGACCTGCCCCCTGGCCCGTACCCCTTGCCACAGGGGCGGCTGGCACCTGGGGGAGCACAGGGGCGCCAGGTGTTGGGGGGCACACGAGCTGTGGCCCGGGAAGCCTGCCCAGTGGGCTCCCACTCCAGGGCCGGGCCAGTGCGCATGGCCAGGGCGCAGGCTCCCTCCAACGCCCTGCCCTGGCCTGCGGTTATGGTAGACGCCGGGGTGGGGCTGCAGGGATAATCCCAGGCTCCAAGGCCAGCACTGGGGCGTGGCCCACGTTCTCTGTGCCCTGCGGCGAGAGGCGTGGCCATCCGAGGGGCGTGGCCACGGTGCAGGAATTTGCCTTCCCAAGTGTTTGCAGGGAGCGCCCTGGGGCAGCAGGAAGCCCCCCCGTCAGGCTCTGAGGGCCAAGGATCTGCGGCTCAGGCCCACCCCCACCATGAGCACCCCCTTCCAGCACCCAGGGAACTACGGGAGACCCAGGCTGGGGGCTCCCCCTGACCGTGGCTCCCCCAACAATGTGGGGTCTCCACTAAGAGGGCCTTGCCTTCCCCCAAGACTGGGGCCTGCCTGCCCCGAGCACTCCCCAGCCCCTGCCCCCTGCATCGGTGTCGGCCAGCCTGGCGCCCACACGCCGGAGCTGCTGGGCTGACTCACTGGGCAGGGAGGCCGCCGCCCACCCGCTGGTCACATGTGCAGCTGAGCGTGGAGGGGGAGCAGGGACAAAGCTGGCCCTCAGCAGGCCGCAGGCCGCCCAGCAGCCGGGCAAGCGGCTGCACCCACTCGCAGCGGCGCGGGGGGGTCGCGGGGTCCAGACTCCAGCGCGAGCGCCCAGCTCTGCAACCAGCGTGGGGAGTGGCCGTGCAGCCCCTGGACCTAGCATCCCCGTCCACAAGCGAGGATAACGGGCTCCCAGGGGTCGGCCGCCGAGGGCCTCCGCATGGCCTGCACAGCTCTGGGCCCCCGGCCCCATGACCTGTCCCGGGCCCATTCAGGGCTGCCCCAGGCTCGGGCCCCCACGCCTGACCCCCAGCCCCGCAGTGTCGGCAGGCGCAGGTGCAGGTGGCTCCGGGAGAGCCGTGGCCTGCAGGAGGAAGCCGGCTTCACGGCCCCGCTGCATCCGGGCAGGGGCTCGGAGCCAGGGCGGGGGCGGGGGCAGGAAGGGGGGGAGTCTTCCACGGGGAAGGCAGGGAGCGGGATTCCGGAACCCAGGCAGGGGCTCCGCTGGCTATTTTTAGTTCCTCCAAGCCCAAATTTTCCACTGCCTGGCAACGCGTGGGTCTGCACAAGCACACGTGTCCTGGCACACGCCGGGGTCTGCACAAGCACACGTGTGTCCTGGCACACGCCGGGGTCTGCACAAGCACACGTGTCCTGGCACACGCCGGGGTCTGCACAAGCACACGTGTCCTGGCACACTCCGGGGTCTGCACAACCACACGTGTCCTGGCGCACGCCGGGGTCTGCACAAGCACACGTGTGTCCTGGCACACGCCGGGGTCTGCACAAGCACACGTGTCCTGGCACACTCCGGGGTCTGCACAAGCACACGTGTGTCCTGGCACACGCCGGGGTCTGCACAAGCACACGTGTGTCCTGGCACACGCCGGGGTCTGCACAAGCACACACGTGTCCTGGCACATGCCGGGGTCTGCACAAGCACACGTGTGTCCTGGCACACGCCGGGGTCTGCACAAGCACACGTGTCCTGGCGCACGCCGGGGTCTGCACAAGCACACACGTGTCCTGGCGCACGCCGGGGTCTGCACAAGCACACGTGTGTCCTGGCGCACGCCGGGGTCTGCACAAGCACACGTGTCCTGGCGCACGCCGGGGTCTGCACAAGCACACGTGTGTCCTGGCGCACGCCGGGGTCTGCACAAGCACACGTGTGTCCTGGCGCACGCCGGGGTCTGCACAAGCACACGTGTGTCCTGGCGCACGCCGGGGTCTGCACAAGCACACGTGTGTCCTGGCGCACGCCGGGGTCTGCACAAGCACACGTGTGTCCTGGCACACGCCGGGGTCTGCACAAGCACACACATGTCCTGGCACACGCCGGGGTCTGCACAAGCACACGTGTCCTGGCGCACGCCGGGGTCTGCACAAGCACACGTGTCCTGGCACACGCCGGGGTCTGCACAAGCACACGTGTCCTGGCACACGCCGGGGTCAGGGGCGACTCAGCTCCCGTGGCCCCCACACCCTTCCCTCCCACCCAGAATCTCTGCTCCCTCGAATCCTCAGCTCGTCACCTCCCCCCCCACAGGTTCACCCAGGCAGGGGTCCTGTGCACGAGGGCCCTTGGGAGAGGTGGGGTCTCCACTCCTGCCCACAGGCCTGGAACCCCAGGGCCAGCGTCCTCACTCTCCCCTGCCACCTGCGGTCCCCAGGGATCGGGGGCCTCACTTGAACTCCCCTGGTGACCAGACGGGCACAGGACCACTGCGTGTCCAGCACAGGACGGAGGGGCCTCGTGTGCCGTGCTCTCTGTATCGTCCAGTTAAAAACACAAACAGGTGGGGCAGCAGGAGTGGGGTGAGGGGTGCCAGCATCCCCCGTGGGCGCCGGTTCCAGTCCCGGCTGCTCCACTTCCATCCAGCTCCCTGCTGTGGCCTGGGAAGGCAGGGGAGCATGACCCGAGTGCCTGGGCCCTGCACCCACGTGGGAGACCTGGAGGAAGCTCCTGGCTTCAGCCCGGCCCAGCCCTGGCCGCTGAGGTCATTTGGGGAGTGACCCAGCGGATGGAGACCTCTCTCTCTCTCTGCCTCTCAATTAGACAAAAACAAAACTGCAAAGCTGGGGGCTGAGAGCTCGCACGGCCCAGCGCCCGCCCGCCCGCCCTAGAGCCGGGACCAGGAAGTGCCTGCTCCCGGAGAAGGGTCTGCGGCTGTGTCTGCTCTGTGAAGGGAGGCGGCTCCCTCTCCAGGGAGGACAGGAAGGGCGGAGGCGCCGGCAGGAAGGCAGCTGCGGGCCGGCTCCCTCCTCCCTCCGCGGGCCGCACCTCCCGGCAGTCTGGGGTCCCGGGCACCGCCGGGGAACACTGCCGCCCATCGGGTGTCTGACGTGCGGCCGGCAGGGCAGGGCACGAACCTGGGCTGCTCAGCCCGGGCCACCGTTTCGCCTGCAGGGGCCCTGCTGGACGAGGACGGCAGGTGGCCAGTGAGGGGCTCTCCTCCGCAGCAGGTGGGTCCCCCCGGGGCCTCCATCGGGGCCAGGCGGGGAAGGAGACGCACTGGGGGCTCAGCTCACCCGGGACGCCTGTGCCAGGGACACCCCCGGGGGCCCCGCCATCCTCAGCAGAGGCCTCCCCCCAAGCTGACTGCTGCGCTGAGCGGGGCCTCGGGGTGTCCGGCCCCTCCCTGTCCACGGGCCAGGCACTCGGTCCCTGCCGCCAGCCCACATCCCAGCCCCAGAGGAGAACAAAGACAGACTGACAGTGGGGGAGGGCCCGAGGCCGCACGCCCAGCACAGCCAGGCACGGCTGCCAGGGCCGGCCGGAAGCTGCCCCAACTCTGGGGGAGACCAGCTCTGCAGGCTGAGCCCCAGGCCTGCCCTTCTCCCTGGCCGCCACTGCACCTGCGTGAGGCTGGGATGGCGCCGGGCCGGACACCCGTCTCCTGGCCCCCTCGGCACCCCTTGGCCGCCCGCCCCCAGGCGGCCGGCACCAGGAGCCCGTCAGGTCCGACCGGGTGAACAGGATCCTCAGGTGGCCACAGCTAAGTGGGGGTGCAGGGCACCCCAAAGCCACACCCACTCTGGACCCCTCACCTGGGAAGTGGCCGGGATGCCCCCTGCCCCTGAGCTGCCCACCCCTCACCTCCGAGGTGACCTCGTGTAGGCAACCCCCAACCTCTGCGGCCCCCAGCCAGGGGCTCTGAGGGTGGCTGTCCCCAGGCTGCCGACATCTGCCTGGGGAACAAGCAGCAGCCGGTGAGGAGCAGCCGAGGGCCTCCCGGCTCCTGGGCGCGGGCGGCAGTGCCGAGCTGTGCTTGGAGCAGGGACGGGCACACAGATGGGGGGCAGGCTGCACTCAGGCCACACCGCAGGGCCCCAGCACGCACCGGGAGGCTGAGGCCACTGAGACGCAGCCCCCTCGCACGGCGGGCCAGGGCCAGGCCACCCCCTCCCCCATCCAGCAAGGGCCAGCGTCCGGCTGGACACGGTGTGGGCCTGGGTCCAGCCTCAGCCCACAGTGGCCACAGGGGCTTAGAAGAGCTGCAGAAGCCACCATGCGGGGGGCGGGCTCGGCTGGGATGCCCGGCACCCCTGCCCGGCCCCCTGCTGCGCCAGCCCGGGGGTGGGCCCTGCTGCCAGACCTCAGAGGCACCGTCTGCAGGATGGGGAGCGGAGCGCCTGCCTCCCCTCCCTGGGAGCCCTGGCCAGCCTGGAGGGGGCGGGCAGGCCTGCGGAGGCCGCCCCACGCCCTGGGTGCTGAGGCTGGGCCCCCTCCCTCAGTGAGGCTGCGGGGGCCCCGCGCTCAGACCCTGCCTGCCCCTTCCTTCCCGCCTGGCTCCCCTGCTGTCCCCAGCAGTGACTCCCAGGCCTGGTCCTGCTGGCCCCTGCGGGCAGCCCACAGAGCTACCTGGCTTCCACCTCCCCCGCTGGCCGTGGCTCCCCTGGACACGCCACCACCCACTGTCCCGAGGCAGCAGTGGACACGGCTGCCCGCCAGGCACCCACTGGACACGCTGTTGAGTGAGTTGGGGAGGGGGCCGGGGCGGAGCAGTCAGACCACGGAGATCTTCAGTACCAGAGGCGGGGCCACCGCAGAGAGCACCCCTCACCCAGAGAGCCGGGCCGCTGGCTGGGGCTCGGCGCCCACGGGCACCCCCCGCCCTGCAGGGAGCCAGCGGGCGACAGCTGCACTCAGCACACGGAGCCCCAGGCTGGCGGAGGGAGGGCAGCGCCTTCTCCCCAGGGACAGCCCCTGGCCGAGGTCAGCTCCAGCCTGACCTGGGGGTGGGGCGGTGGGAGGTCTCGGGCCTGCTACGTCCACTCCGGGGAGGCCCCCTGCCCTGGGTGGTCCCCGGGGGCCGTGGGATGTTCCCCCCGCGGGTGGCTCAGGGAGCCCCAGGTCTCAGCCGCTGCCCGGGGAGCCAGGTCTCACCCTGGTCCCACTGCCAGCCAAGGCTGGAACAGGCAAGGGGACTTCCCAGCGGCAGCCCGCTGCTGTCCTGACCTCTGGCCTCAGTCCTGGCGGGTCCAGCGGGGCTGGTCCAGCGGGTGGGGCAGCGCAGTGGTCACACTCAAAGCCTGACACACGGTAGCCTCAGGGCCCGCGCAGCTAGGACGGCGTGCGCCACGCTCCCCAGGGTGCCAGGAAGGTGACAGTCGGCTGGGGGGGCCCCACCCCACCCAAGCGGAACTGAGAGAAGCCGCGCCTCGACCGCCGGCGTGGGCAGGGAAAAAGCGCAGCTGGGGCGGTGCAGGCGCCGCGGACCGAAGTTAAAGTTGATTTTCCCAACCGAGGCTGACTCACGGTCAGGACGCCCGCGGGGCGGGGAAGCCCGCAGGCGGGGTGGGGCGGCCACGCCACGATCGCGGGCCAGGAGCGCCGGGCGCGCCCGCGCCGACCACCCGGGCCAGGAGCCGCGGCGGTGCTGTGCTTCCAGTGGAGCGCGCCCGGGGGTCCCCGCCGCCGCCCCGAGCTGCGCCCCTGGACCTCAGCGCGCCGCGCCACTCCTGGTCTCGGCTTCCCCGGAACTTACCGAGTGCGGGCGGCCCGAGGCGGGGCCGGGCAGGGCAGCGGGCTGCGGGCGCCCGCGCGGGCGGTGCGCGGCGGGGACGGGGGCTCCGGGCCGGCTGGTGCGCGGCGCGGGGCGGGCTCCGGCGGGAGGAAGAGGTGGCGCCGCCCCGCCCGCCGCGGCCACGTGAGGAGCGGGCGCGGTCTGGGCCGGGGGGTGGTCGCCAGGGAGGCCCCGCCCCGCCGCCACCTCGCGGGTTCGCCCCCGCGCCTGGGAACACCGCGGCCGGCTCCCCGGGGCTCGTGGGGCGGGATCTGCAGCCAGCGCCCGATGGGCGGTGGGCGGTGAGGACGCGCGGCCCCGCGCCAGGAGGAGGGCCAAGGCGCGCCAGGCTGCCGGGGAGGGACAGCCCCAGCCGCCCTCTGCCTCCAGCCGCCCGCGGGCCAATCCAGGGGACCCCAGCTGGCCGTGCTGGGCGGGCAGGGCTTGGGATGCTGCCTGGGAGAGGTCCCACCTGCTCCAGGGGACTCGGACAGGGAGGTGGCTCCTGCCCTGTAACCAGGGTCAGGGAGCTGGCTGCTGGCCTGTAACCCGGGTCACTGTGCCCTGGGCCTGGGGCTTGGATGCTGGGGCAGCTCAGGCAGAGGAACACGGCCGCTGGCCTGAGGGTGCGGGAGCCGGTTTCCGCAAGGGCTGTGTGGATGGTGCAGAGCCGGGGGCCTTGAGCCCCTCCCAGAGCCGGGGGGGGGAGGGGGCTCCCGTGCGGATGCTCCAGGTGCCCACCTACCCTGCCCCCGCTGCTGTGTGGGGACGAGGCCCACCCTTCCTGTCTGAGTGTCCACTCCCTGGGCCAGGTCCCCTGCCCAGGTCCAGTGGCCACAGCCCCGGAAGTCTCCTTGGCAGGGCCCCAGCCCAGGAGCAGCCCCTGGCGGTCAGCCAGCGGCCAAGGAGGGCCTGGAGCCGCGTCTGTGCCCGGGGAGCCACCACGCTGCCTCTCATCTGCCTGGGACCGACGGCCGCTCCTGGTACACAGGCACCTCTGCCTGGACGGCCGGCTGGGGACCAGGCACTTGGCTGTGGCCCTGTGGCCTGTGGGGTGCTGTTGGTGACCCTGGGGGGAGCGAAGTGTGGGCCTCAGCTCCAGTGGGCAGGGCTGGACCACCCTGGAGCAGGGCTCGGTACTGGGCACCTTCCCTGCAGTGGGGAGGTGGGAGGACCCCAGCCCTCAGGGCCGGCCCGGGGTTCTGTCCCCTGTGCTCCTGTCTGGCCCCACACACCTGCAGCCGCCCCTCTGAGCTGTCCCCATTCAGGCGGAAACGGTGAATTTGGGCCAGTGGAGTCTCAGGGAGTGTTGGGGGGCTACAGGCAGAGTGGGGGTGACAGGGGCCTGTGGTGCCTGTGTGTGTGCATGCGTGTGAGCGTGTGTGCACGTGTCTGCGGAGAATGACGGCAGGGTCAGAGGTCAGGCAGGGTGTGGGGGGGTGAATGCTGGACTCAGGCCTGGGGCTTGGATCCACGCCACCCGGTCAGCCGGGCACTGGAGTCTTGGCAGGTCTCAGCGTCAAGGGGCCCCGCCGGCCTCCCCAGACCCACCCCCCCAGCCCCCGGAGCCCTCTGCCCCTTCCCGCTGTGCGCCCGGCAGACCAGATCCCTGCCCCCAGGGCACACAGCAGGCCCGTCCTGCACAGAAATTTCTGGAAGCCACGGCCTGCAGGCAGCTCCTGTCCTGGTGCCCGGGTCTGTACACGCTCATCTGCCCGCACCTGGACAGAGGCGCCCAGGACAGGGACACGTGAGCACACGTGGGCAGCAGCACACCTGGGCTAGGCTCACGGGTGCCCACCTGTGGATGTGAGGGGTGGGCAGAGAGCTGGCCACAGCCTCTTGTTGGGACGTGGAGCACAGACAGGGTGAGGGGGTGCGGGCTGTGGGGGCTGCCGACAGCCGTGGGTGTTCCCCAGAGAGAAGTCTCCCAGTCCAGGCGCCACCGTGCAAAACCAGGACAGCCCAGGCAGCTCCCAGAATGCTTTGCATCTCTCTCCTCCTGAAACCTTTTTCCTTTTAGCATCCTGTGGGGTGCCCCGAGGCAGCCTCTGACGCATGTCAGGAATGAAGTCAGCAGGAACACACACGCCTCCACTCTCACCGCTCACCCGCGTGCACCCAACCCCCGAGCACGCACCCATCAACCCATGCATGCACCCACCGCCATGCACCCACCCACCCACGCAGGCACCCACCCACGTACACCACCACTGCCTTGCACCTGTCCACTGTGCACCCAGACACCCAGCCAACCACGCACCAACCCATGCATGCACCCACCGCCATGCACCCATCCACCCATGCAGGCACCCACCCACCCACCATGCACCCTCCCACCATGCACCCACCACCCCCCCTCCCACCATGCACCCTCCCACCATGCACCCACCACACTCCCACCATATACCCTCCCACCATGCACCCACCACACTCCCTCCCACCATGCACACACCACACTCCCACCATGCACCCACCCACCATGTACCCACCACACTCCCGCCATGCACCCACCCATGCAGCCCTCAGGCACCTCCTGCTGGGACGGCGCGTGGGGAGGCGCTGCAGTGGTGACCTGCGCCCGGTGTGTTCTCAGGGAGACTCAGGTGACGCCCGGGGTTCCTTGCCAGCGGCTTTCAGTGACACCGAAGCTGTGCAGGTCACAGAGGGCCACAGAGGTGTTCACGAAAGGGGCAGGCACTGACTGGCCCCAGCCTGGTTCTGGACTCCACCCCATGCCACTGTGGTGTCCCTGACAGCCCCCTGCCGGTAGCCACGCTGGCCACTGAGGACAGCCCTCCCCGCCCCCACACCCAGGAGGAGGGCCCAGGCCCTGAGACACAGGTGGGCGGCTGGGAGTGTGGCCCGGCTGGAGGAGGCGGGGGTCTGTGGTGTGTGCTTGGGCTGAGAGTAGCTGCCAGGCAGCCCGGAGGGGCCCCTGGGGGCCACCCAGCCCCAGCCCCAGCCCCTGCTGTCAGGCCCCCGGGGGCCCGTCCTCCAGTGTCGGCTGTCTTCTGCTCCTTAATAGCAGATGGGTCTACGGCTCTCCGTGTCTGAGGGCCCTGCAGGTGGAGGTGTTTGGGGGTGCCAGGCCGGCCCGGCACAGAGCAGGTGTGTCCGCCCGCCTTCCCAAACCCGGGGGCCCGGGATCTGCTGGGGAGGGGGAGTAGACCGTTCCTGTCCCTTGCTCTAAGTCCCTCAGCTACCCGGGGGCTGGCTGAGGCCGCCAGGGAATGTCGGGGTGGGGGCCTGCTTCCAGGGGCGGGGCCTGCACTCGGGCCGAGACCCCTCCCTGCGGGAGGACCTTTCCCTCCAGGCTGGGCCCCCAGGGCCCGGCGAGTCCAGACAGTGGAGGTGCGTGCCTGTGTGCGCCAGCCGGCGGCAGTTTAACCAGACAAGCCAGGCCTGGGGTGGCCTCTCCATACTGACCCTAGACTCGCCGGGGGGCATGTGGTGGCCAGGGCCACTGTCTCCAGTGACAGGGACGTCCCGGGGCATGGGTGAGGGCTGGGTGTACAACACCAACTTCTGGATTGAGTCCAGATTTCCCGCCTGTCATGGTGTGTGGGGGCTATGGACGCCTGTCATGGTGGGGGAGGGGCTATGGACGCCTGTCATGGTGGGGGAGGGGCTATGGCCGCCCGTCACAGTCCCCCCCACCCCCCCGCCTCTCCTGGCAGGTGCCCTGCGCCCCAGCTTCCGCTGCCATGCTGGCCCCTCAGGTCTGCTCAGGGAGGGAGACGGGTGCTGAGTGACTCAGCTGCTCACGGTTTGCCTGGCCTGCCTGGATTTCCGGGGGAGAGGCTGGGCGGTCTGCAGCCTGGAGCCCCTCCCCATCCCTGTCTCTGGGGGTTCTCAGGCTGGCCTTGGTCCAGCCCCACCCACCCCAGTGGCTTTGTGAGCTGAATTCCCCCTGGGGGGCGGCTCTGTCCAGCTCAGTCCCTGCCAGGGGTCCCCCCTGACCCCAGCAAACAGCCTGGGCCTTTCCCGGCTCCCCTGAGGCTGCGGCACAGCGCCCCAGGCACCGGCCCCTCCCAGGAGTGGCCAGCGTTTGGGGGTGGAGTGGGCGGGGCCCCGGGACTCGGTGGGGTGTGGTCACCACCCAGTACCACCCGGTGCTGCACAGCAGACAGCCCTGGCCTGGGGGCTGCGGCAGCCCCGTGGTCAGCACGTGGACACTGTGGCTGCCGGTCCCTTGTGGGTCCTGGCTCTGCTGCCCAAGAGCTGTGTGGCCTTGGGGGCGGCGAGGACAGTCCCGCCTGGGGCCGCCACAGTCACCCAGAGCCGTGTGGGAAGCCTCTGGACAGAGCCGGCTGCACCGGCCAGGGGAGGAGGCCATGTGTGTCCGGGCCAGTGACTGGGCTGCTGCCCAGGGTTGGGGCAGCGGGGCCTCCTTTGGGGGGGGCTCACTGAGGGGAGGGAGGGTGGAATCCCGGGAAGGGGTGGGGTCGGGTGGGAGCCCCCCGGTTACTGAACTTCCTGCCTGGGCAAGGGTGTTGGGGGTCCTGGATGGAGGTGAGGCCTATGGGGACCGCGGCTCCTCCCCTGTCCCGGTCTCAGCCTCTGGGAGCAGCCTGAAGACCTTGGAGCCGGGCCGGCCGGGCCGCCTGCTCCAGAGCGAGGGCCCTGGGGTCCAGGCCTGAAGGGACCAGAGCCGCTGAGCTGGGCGGGCACAGGACACTGGGGCTTTGTTTGCCTCTGTCCTTGCAGGCCTGGCCTTGCCCACTGGGCCACGCCCGAGAGACGGCAGTGGGCGGGCCCTGCCCCAAGGCAGTCCTCAGCCTGGCAGGCACACAGCACGGCACACACACATACAGCTGGCACTCAGCACGGCACACACACACAGCTGGCGCTCAGCATGGCACACACACACACACACACAGTCGGTGCTCAGCACAGCACACGCACACACACACAGTTGGTGCTCAGCACAGCACACGCACACACACACACACAGCCGGCGCTCAGCACAGCACACACACACAGAGTTGGTGCTCAGCACGATACACACACACACAGGTGTTGGGTATGGAGTGTACACAGTCGGCGCTCAGCATGGCACACACACACAGGTGTTGCGTATGGAGTGTACACAGTCGGCGCTCAGCATGGCACACACACACAGGTGTTGCGTATGGAGTGTACACAGTCGGCACTCAGCCTGCGAGGCAGCTGCGAGGGGGCTGCCTGGCGTGCTCCGCCCCCGCAGCTCTGCCAGCAGTGGCCTGGTCTCTTGCTGGCCCACAGGT